GCTTTCCTCTCCCCGGGTAAATATGTAAGGTGAACACTGAAATAAATAAAATACATGACTGGATGACATGCAATAAACTTACAGTGAATATAGATAAATCTAAAGTCATGTTATTCAGTCCAAACTCTCGCATTAGACATGTGAATTTTTCAATAAAAATTAAAGGCTCCGAATTGGAAATAGTCTCGTCTTATAAATATCTTGGGCTCCACATTGATAGTCAGTTAAAATGGAATACACACACCACTGAAATCCATAGAAAACTGTCAAGATCCGTAGGGATTTTAGGAAAGCTAAAAAATTATTTACAAAATTCCACCTTGAGAACCGTTTACTTTGCACTTTTTCAATCTCATATACAATATGCCATAGCTGCTTGGGGCTCTACAACTCAGTCCAACATGCATAGATTAGAGGTTTTACAGAATAGAGCCGTTAGAATCCTCGCTAGAGCACCATATCGTTCGAATTTAAATTATTCATACCATAAAACTAGAGTGCTTAAATTGACTGACATCTATAAACTAGAAATCTCAAAAATTATGCATCAATTTCAAAACAATCAATTACCAGCAGCTTTTGACAATTATTTTGTCTCGCTAAGTTCAGTGCATGAACATAACACTCGTTCTTCAACAAGGCAAAACTACTTTGTTCCTCGCTTCTCACTTGCCAAATCCCAAAAGTCCCTCAAATTCATAGGTGTGCGAATTTGGAATAACCTACCCCAAACCCTACGTGATTCTTCTTATGCCACTTTCAAAATAGAGTGTAAAAAACTCATGATTTCCACCTACCGGTCCAGTTGAATTTGCAAAGTGAATTCTCCAGGATTACTTGATCATACAATGAGTTTACTCGACTTGATCCACAGTCCTCGAGTCCAAGTAACCTGTAATAAACATTTTACTATTCTTAATAAATGGAATTATCAATGTTTATTTGGCAAATTTTTTGGATATCTACTTAAAATACTTTTATTGATATATATTGTTAATATACTGACTCACTTATGCCCTCACAGATATATGTGGAGGCACATTCACGCTTTTTCAAAAAACAAAATGTCTCAAAAATTAGAGCCAGCATATGCCAGGATCCTGGTTCCAGTAGATTTGACAGCACAGTCTAGGCCAAAATGGGATTATGTTGATCAGCTACTACAGCTGTCTGACTGACCCATACTATTAGTATATTTATTTTATATGTTTGTAATTCTGTGAATTTTCCATTTTTATAATTGAGTGACTTATATATTCTGCATGAATTGCCTTATCATAGTAGGCTATTGTACTGCTGTGACTTTAAATTTATGTAATTTATTGACATAAATTCTGCATGAACCGTCCTATTGAACTGTTGAACAGTTGTGTATATACATTTTTTTATTCAATGATTTCTATATTCTACATGACCTATTCGATCGCACTTCAGAACCGTTGTGATTTAAAATTCTGAAATTAGTTATATTTATGCCACACAAAATGACTATTTGTAAGTAATGTAACTCAATGCAATTACCTGGTTTAGTGATCTCTTAATCCGTTGCCCAAACCTGTAGATACATTTTATTCTTTTTTCTCTCTTCATATTATCCTCGTGTACAAATTCGTCCCCAGCCTTTATGAACCATGCATCAGCACAGTGCCGGTACCGTCCAACTCAGCTTGCAATATGGTGCTCCAGTCACTTACACGTTACCGTATTTGTGCCGTAGTTGTCATGGTTATCTGCCAATCGGCGTTCGGAGTCGTTTGCTTAGTGAGTCCGGAAATATCCGGTCTTTTTAAACATATTTCTGCCAATGTTAGTATTTTGGCGTCCGACTCCTCACTTTAGTACTGTATTTAGTTTGATTTTTGTTCTTGTATAACCCAATGTTAGACTATTCATAGGTGTCGTTGCTCGATAACCAATGCTGGTTTATCGCGTCCCCTTTCACCCTGAAATGCATTATTTTCCTCCAAGTCCATGCTTCCGAAAACAAACAATACAGTATAACTAACTAATCCCATATCCGACTTGGAATGGTAACCGGACGAGAGGCCGTGGTTCGCCATATGGATAAGCCGTCTTATCGGCTTTCCTCTCCCCCGGGATAAATATGTAAATCCTATCCTATCCTCTTTTCTTATCTCGTTCTGTATGTACAGTGTGTATTTCTTGGTGATAAATAAATTACTGACTGACTGACTGTAAATCCTTCCTTCCTATTTTTAATGGATAATACACTCATGTGGTTTATTGTTTTTATAATTAAATTACATATGGGGGGGGGCACCAAAGTCTTCAGTGCTTAGGGCACCAAAGGGGCTTAATCCGCCCCTGGTGGCATTGTATATGGGTTAACCTCGGTTTCGCGCAGACGTGCCCGCCGTTTTACTGAAAAACGATCCACCGCACCTGCGCACATTTTTAGCACTGGCAAGCGCCCTCGGGCATTCATCTGTCACCGTTGATGTCTTCACTTACATAGGGGTATCGATGTTGCTAAGGAAGCAATACTGCATGGATGGGGTCCAATTGGCAATAATTATTAAATAATTGTTGATTATATGCACGATATATTACCTACAGTCTGACATTGCCAGTTAACTTACCGGTACCCGGTTACCGCCCACCTGTACCGTACCGTACCTATCCGACCATGGAAATCTAGCTTTGCTTCCACTGTCTGATTGCAGATTGTCCAGCTGTCTGACTGTAGACAATATTTCGATATTCAAATACAAAACGTATTGTCGTGAGGTGTGAACCCGCCGCTCAAATCAATCAAAAGATAATACCGTGATACCACAGGTAGGCCTACCGGTACCGTACGGTCCGGTATCGCCTACCATAAGAACTGCAGATATTCATTGTTATACCGGTACGGTATCCGTTCAGGTGTTATATACCGGTACACCTCAATGGTTATATCAGTCTGTCAGTAGTCTAACCTTATGTACAAATTTAGTTTATACAGTTATAGCGGTCTTGTACCGACGGATTGTACTGTACCGACGTCATACAATGCTGTTTCAGTAGTCTGGTAGTGGGCATACGGGCATGGCGGTACCTTACCGGTACTGCTGTACCGTACTGTACGGTAGCACAAGCCAATTCTGCAATTGTAAAACATTTTAGCATTTTGCATAAAAATGATATATTTCAAGATTGAAAAATAATTCTTACCTAGTTTTACATTTTTGGGTACAAACCATGTTATTCAGTTATTTGAGTCTTCGAAAATAAAAATGACAATTTCTTCATATTGATTTGTCAAGAGATTTGGTGTTTTTGATGCGTTGCGAAACCAGAAAATCCTGCATGCATCTTTTCTCTTGTCTCTATTTATAGTTTTTCTATGGAATTTAAAATCCAATCAGGAAAGTGAGAACAACAAGAACTCAATTGTTGTTTCAACTTCTATTGTCGCTATCATATGTCATATATTTGAACTTCCATATTAGTTTTTTATATTGAAATACAGAAATAGGGCCATTTAAATAAGTCTATTTATAAATAGACTGGTTTTGCATGACCTACCACATTTCTCAAAGTAGCTCAATTTATCAGAAAGCTGTGTATAGATAGAGCATTAATTAGTTGTAAACACCTACACAGATTCATCCCAAATGTTTATAAAATATAGTTTCTATCAGGCTTCCATTGAATTCCTGTATTTTTGAAATAGGTATGCGAACTCAGTTTTCACACTTATCTCTGTTATTATACAAATTTTGTGCCTTTATTTTAAGGCATTTCAATGGATGCAATATGTAGGTGCTTTTCAAAATACTCATGCAAAACTTTTAAATAAAAAAATTAATTAATTAAAAAAAAACACCATACTTTCTATTCATTCACAATAAATACAAAGGAGTTTGAAATGATGAACAAATGGATATAAATAAACAAAAATGATATTGGAAATGATGACAATCTGTTAATTGAATAAATTTATTTATGTTATGATTTAGAATAATTCCTACATGTGCCAATCCTCAGTCCACTGAGCAGTGAACCTCATATTAAATCGAGGGCATGTATTGGATTTGCGGGTGGCCAGGTATCAATATTGGATACGCCAATTCTCTTGAAAATTGAGACTGATAAATATCTTTGAATTTAGATATTAAATATCTCACATAACAAGTTACCAGTGTTTTCTTTGCAAAAACTTTTAAAATGTCCATATTTCTTATAAAAGCACACTATGTTTCTGAACAGGTTTGCAACATATATTTAGTGTTTTCACTACAGAATGTTGGGTTGCATTCCAGAAATCATTCTTCCATTGGCCTTCTTTTTAGAGACAAATTGCTTGGACAATAAAAGTAATGGTAGGCCTACTAGGCATATAAAAGTTGGCCAGCTCGTCCATTAATTATTAGTTCTACAAAAATATGTAGCCCTGTATATGTCAATGCAATAGTCATCATAAACTTTTGCAAATTCTTGCATATTGTCATGCTGTCTTAACAGAACTGTTTAGTTAAGTTTATCAAGTTTTTAACAGTATTCGACAAACCAACTCTTGACTTTTAGTCGACAAAATTTTTTGACACTGACTTCTGATTCAAGCAAAAATACTATGCAACTCTTTTTTTTTGACTCTATCTCATTTAAAAAAAATTGACTCAATCTCATTTAATATTGAATACTGGAGGGTTAAAATTTTTACTATAATTCCAACAAACTGTAATTTCTCAGCTGAGCATGCCATGTTCTACAGCTGATATTTTCAATTCTGAAATGAATAAACATAGATCAGTGCTATTAATTGTATGTGAAAGTAAATTTCATTTTCAAATTTGTAAATTTCAACAAGAGACTATAAACTGTCATACATTGAACAATTATGCTGCAATTGAAATATCTTTTTGCTCCCCTAGGGTCATGAAAAATGTCCTAATATTTATGAAAGGATACATTTCAGTAAGTTTGAAAGATCTGCAATGATTCATTGCTGCGTGTTTTCAGAAGAAACTTCTCAGAATGTAGAGTTGAATATACATACGCACACAAATATGTACATATTAGAATCAACCATTTTCATTACAGTTTGGTTGTTTATTTAGACTACGAACCGAAGAAAACTCAAACAAAAACCGACTATTTTTCCATGTTAAGCTCCGTTCAATTCAACTCTTCACAATATACATGCTATATATACACACACATGAGAAATATTCATTATAGGTGTTTGATTGATTTTATCTGCTAATAAGTGTATTCACTTCAAGAAAATTGGGAATGTTATCTATTTTGTCCATGATTCTAACCAACAATAAAATATAAAGCAGATTGTGAAACAGGCCAAGATTGCCTGTGTGTCCTTTCATGTCCCCTTCCTTTGTAATTGTAGCAATATAGATTAAAGTATCGTGGAATACTAGCTTTTTGACACCTAGATTTGATCAAAAAAGATTGCTTAAAAGCAGATGCAAAAGTAAAATCATGTTAAGACAAGACTTTTATCATCCTAACATGAACACAAGAGTTCGTCTTGATGAATACATCAGTGATCTAAATCTTGAGATCAGTCCAGAAGGATACAGCTGCCAACTTTGTGCAAGGATGGCTTCGCTTACATGTGGGCAGGTGCAAAAGCAACTTTTGGAATCAGGTTATATATTTATTTACTTTGGGCATCAGATAATTGTTAATCTGGTTTTGAAAGCCATTCAGGATGTTACCGTTCTCTACATAGTTGACTTCATTTAATTTGATGTGAATACAATGCAGTTATCAAGGAGTGAGGGATTCAATTTCTATTAGATTATTTATTTAAAAAAACTCCAGTCGCTCGGGACAGCAAGTGAAGTTGTTCCAATACTTATAACAACGAAATTCATTATATTAGGCATTCCGGTAGTCAATTTTTGACTTTAGGAATAGTTTAAAACATTTTCATTTAAAAACTAGGGACTTTGAGCCATCATAGTATCAGATCAAAACATTCGACATCTCAACTGGTAACAAACAACACAGATATTTATGTCATTTTAGAATTAACATGAAGATAAATATAGTGCTTTATGTAATTTACCACATAAACTTCGCTCCAATTTAGAATGTAATCGAAAATATTTTCAGTTTCATCCCCTGGAATTTAATCTAATTCCACATAATATTCTATTCACAATTTATTACGTTACATGTCACAGGAAAGGAAAGGTTTGCTATGAAGTTAAAGTTGCAGAAAACCTTGAAGTATCAACTGCTGACTTTACTGATATTCATGTTGTGCGTGTTGGCTGGTCCACAGATGCCGCTACTCTACAACTTGGTGAAGATAAAAACTCATTTGGGTATGGTGGAACGGCTAAAAAATCTGAAGCCAGGAGATTTATAGATTATGGCAGGCGATTTGATAAAGGTTTTTTGTTATTTATAATTTTTACAAGTACCCTCAACATTTTGAATTGTGGAATTGCACTTTCTGTGGTGGGCATTTTCAAATATTTAGAGTGCTCGTGAATAATAATAATTTGAAAAACTCTTTTAGGAAAATCAATTAGTGATTTTACTATTTGTTTTTATTTCGCTCATCTCTGGCCTGTGTCGTAAACAAATTCAGAGCAGACATTTTGATTGATAGAAATCAGTTTTTACAACATTGCCAATTTAGGGGTTGCTGTGCTATAATGCCTCTACTGTATATCAATGCCTCTACTGTATATACACGCCCACAAGTACTTCTAGATTGCCTAGATCAACAATTTTTGCATATGTCATTCCTAACCCCCACCTGACTAGTCATCCAAAAATTACATCACTGCAAAGTCGCATTAAAATAATAAGGCCCTTCAAAGTATAGGGATGGTCGTCTAAATCTGAAAGGCGCAGACAATCATTCGAAATCAAGCAAGCTCTTTTTCTCGTCGTAACGATGCCTATAAGAGAGAGATTTCTGGCATTAGTGAGTTCATTATAGTCGGTACGGATGCCATTTCGGACGATCGTAGCTATACTTTAGCAAGCGCTATGACGCGATTGTGTAGTAATTTTTGAGTGACGTACTCAGTTTGAGGTTGAGATATTATATGCAAAAATGGTTATGCTACGCCCACTAGAAGTACTTGAGATTGCGTACTTCAGAAGACCCTATCAATGTGTCTCTGTTTATTAATCAGGTGATGTAATCGGTTGTTATCTTGCAATTGAGAATGGGTGGGCTGATATATCTTATTGTGTGAATGGAAGACATTGTGGCAGTGCATTCAAAGTTCGATGGAATGCAGATGAGGTTGGTATTAATATTTCCATGAATATAAATCTTAATCTTGTTTTGAATTGGGTATATGATTATTTAAAAACTAAATTTATGCAATTTATTTTAGATCGATACATTCTTTCTAACTTAATAAGTGACAATTGAAGTTGTTTTAATTTACAAATTCATCATTACAGGCATTATATCCCCATATTTTGTCGAAGAATTGTAGATTGGAGGTGAATTTTGGTCAGGCACCCAATCCATATTTCTCACTTCTACCTGGATACAAACTGATTGAGCATCTACCAGTTGAACTTCGAGTTCCTGCCATTTCAGCACCTAAAAGTAAACATGATTGTGAAGTGATTATGATGGTCGGTTTACCGGGAGTTGGTATGTATGCTAGTAGTTATTTACACAATGACAGTATATTTTGAAATCTTTTTCATTTAATATTTCATATAATTCAGGAAAGAGTACTTGGGCAACAAACTATAGTAAAATACATCCAAGCAAGAAATACAACATACTTGGAACTGATGCAATCATTGATAAAATGAGGGTACAAGGATTGCCCAGAAAAAACAACTTTGGAGGTTAGACATTTTAGTAATTCAAGTTTTCAGTAAATGGACTCTGGGCATTGGGGCGGAAAAGAATTTATTATGTTCATCAAACAATTTGCTTTTCATTTTTAATTCTATTTTTTTTTAGTAGAGATTGTTTTCCCTATTTCAATATACACATCAATATTTCAATAAATTTACCTTCCTTAATAGGTCGCTGGGATGTTCTTATTAAGCAGGCATCTGAGTGCTTCAATGCATTGTTGAAAAAGGCGTCCAACTGCAACAGAAACCTCATTCTTGACCAAACTAATGTTTATTCATCTGCAAGAAAGAGAAAAGTTCGTCAGTATAAGGATGCTGGATATACAGTGAGTCCTAATGTAATCAAACATATCTAAATGATCCAAGATCGTATATAGTCATCTTGGTTTGTTCTTGACCAAGTAAGTGCTGTGATTATTGTAGCATCCAGACAATTGCATATATATTTGCAATATTTTTTCAAATCATTTGAGTTTCTGATAACTGTGTGTCTGGTTGCTGCTATTCCATGTATACTGTTTAGTGTTTTTGTTGAGAATTATACCAAAAGTTATTTTATTATTCGTTTCGTCACTCATAGTCTGTACTCTGTTGGAACATTTTCTTCATTTTAGGTAAATGCTATGGTTCTTGTCCCAACTGATGAAGATATGATGAGACGTTCACATCAACGTACTTTGGAGGAGGGAAAGGAAGTTCCTGAAGCAGCAGTATATGATATGAAAGCAAATTTTTCACTTCCGCATGAGAATGAAAAGTTATTCTCAAAAATTACATTTCTTGAGTTGCAACGTGAAGAAGCTGAAAATCTTGTTTTACAATACAACAGGTGATCATTTTTATATTTTGTAAATTACAGCAACATCTTGGCGCGCTTTGTTTTTATCAATATTTCTTGATATATATAAGTTCTGAGGCACTTGGGAAAATTTCTTTCTCGAATAATGTTATATAATATTTGCGTTATTCTACATTGTCTGCTACATCCAATTACATTCTGTGCAAAACCTTTTCAACAAGTGATGCGAATATGAAAGGCTACAAAAGCAATAAACAGAGTGGTGTTGGGGCTAATGAGAATCAAAAGGAAAAGAATGAGAGTGATAGACGTGCGGCTGGATCAACATCTGACCGCAGAGATTACCATGATACTGATAGAGCATCTCGAAGCTATGAGAGGTATATATGGCTTTTGATCATTTGACTTTGCTGCTAATTATTGTGTCTTAGTTTTTTTCTGCTTATTATAATTTGATTAAGATCTGATGATTCAAGACATAGATCTGATTCCAGAAGACATGATTCGCCGCGCCGAGATAGATATGAGAGCGTTCACGCTGAACGAAGCGACAGACGAGAAGAAAATCGAGATGGGAAAACTCTAAGGAAAGCCAAGGTATGTTTTGGACACACTTTATGTAAATATAAAAGAAATTAAATTGACAATAACGGTTAACATCATACTTAACATTGTTGTAGAATTTGTACTCAGGCATTATAGAATTGATCTTCTAGTACAACATTGTCAGCTTATATGTATTTTTTCGACTCATATGCAGGATAGTCCTACTTTATTGCGGTATATTATTTAAAATAATTAAAGTAATTTTACTGTCCTTATCTAGATATGAGACAAAAAAGCGTATTGAAGATGATCGTGGCGGAGGCCCACCTGAAAAATATCGACGAGATGGTTCTCCATCGATGACGCATCAGTTATCAGCTGGAGATAGCGAATCAAGAATGCCTGGGTATATAATATAATCATAAGTTTCATAACTAAATTTTAGGATACTTTTCTTACTAATACTTGAAAAACTGAAATTGTGTAGGAGCGTTTCACAAGGAAATGGAAGATTTCAGAATCAAGGACCAATGGCCAGAAATACACAAGTATGTTTAATTTGAAGGCTTGTAGGAAAATTACACTTGAGTACCTAGATCTGTAAATAAATTTTATACCTAAAATAAAAGAAAAAGAAAATATAAAAGTATGTTGAGGATTTTTGGGAAGCCTTTGCGAAGCTTTAGTTGTAGCATATCAATGTTGAGACTTTAATGTGCAGAAATTCCCTCAAATCAGTATTCAGTACGATTATTGTCGATTCAGATTATTTGCTGTTTTGTCATTTGTCAATGAGTGGTTATAGGATAAGGTATAACTAATTCATATAATTCAGAAGGAAAATCTTTACTTTATTCTATTTGCACCATCAGACATTTTTCACTTTCCACAAGCAAACTCAGCAAGAATCCAGATATGGGCCAGGGAGAAATAATTATACTCCAGAAGAAGTGCTGCCCCAACATCAGCCTACTTTTAAAAACAATTCAGAGATATTTCCATCCCCATCAATTCAAAATCAACGGAGATACCCTGCTCCTCAGGACTCTAGAAGATCACTACCAAATGAGCAATCTAGGTACATTGTTTGTTATTTATAAAGAAAGAGGCCAAACACGACACAGAAATAACTGATTACTAATCATATCTAACTGGCACATGATGTAATTCTCAATGTTTTCAGATCACAAGATAAGGATTGGGAATATCGTACAGATGGCAATAACACTGGTCTACATAAACAGTCATATAATGCACAGGTATGAAATGTTAACAATTAAATCTATTCGTCTAAGCAGATTTACATCAGCTTGTATTTTTAGCAATCAAGCTCTCAGAGGGATTTCGGTGAGAATGACTCAAGTTTGGGTGTTGCAAAGCCATGGGCTAGACAAGATGGCCCTGATATTCAGCGAAGACCACCTGTGCACGAGGTTAATAAGGAAGCTCAGCAACATAGTAGAAATCGTCCTGTGACTGGAGGTCCTGGTGCTGGACGGCCTCAAACCCACTGGTCAGAATATGGACAAATGCCAGTGCCCAACCAACAACGAGAACAGCAACAGTCCTTTACTTATCAAAATAATTCTAAGAGTGGACAGAAACCAGAGTATGATTCTTCGGAATATTACGGAAATGAATATGCTGATAACTATGACCAAAATTATCCAGGTAATTCACATTTTGTTTTTATAATTAGCATAGTCATAGTCAAGTTTATTTTTTCCATCCAGTAAAAAAAGTTAATATGCAAAATTAAGACGAATAAATAAGATTGAATACACATTTCACTGGGGAAGGGAAGCAGCGGGAACCAAAGCTGGTTATCAAGCAGCGACGCCCAAAATTTGACACCCATATTTTGTAATAATAATGGTTTTTTATTCTTTTGACAGGACATGATCAAGGACAACAACATATGAAAACTGATTTTAGTCATCCAGATGAAAGAGAAGAGACGCAATACAAAGATGAATATGTATGTTCAGTTTGCAAATATCTAAATCAAAATTTAATCTAGAAATTTGAGTTCATTCATGTCATTCAATCTATTACAGGTTGGAGATGATTCTTATTATGATAGTCAGGAACAACATTGGAACCAAGATACAACGTAAGTGCTTATTTTTATTAAAAGAAATGGCCTATTTGCTGGCAGATTGGCCCCACGTTGCTTGAACTCTGGTTCAAACGATCCTCATCACCCAGCCAGAATATAACAAATTGGTTACAATGAATATCAATGTCTGCTTGTCCATGTAGTTATTTGTAGAAGATGTGGTTTAACATCTCTAAAAAATGGTGCTCTGTAAAACTGGTCATTTGTATTTTTCCATTGAGCAATCACTTTCATGATAGGTATTCGGAGCCAACCAGAAGAAGTGGATCTGTTCCACAGTTTGGTGATAAAAGTAATGTTATAGATCCTAACGAAAACTGGAGGAAGCCACAAACAGGAGAAAATTACGATCAATATTATGATGGAGATGAACATCAATATCAAGGAGATTCTCCTGCAAATACACCAGCTAATCATTCCTATGACCCTAACTTTGCACGCACTAGCGATCATCATTTTACGTCTGAAGGCCCCTCAGTATTCAAACCCCCACAAGTTCACGGTGATGTTCGAATTCATAGGGGTAATTCAGCAACTAATCGTATGATTCGGCCTCCGATTATGCAGATTCGCCACCCTTCAAATCAAGTTTCTAGCCACGAATGCCACTACAACAAGGAAGAGGTGGTATTCACAGACCACAAATCCACACTTTCAATACAGCTGTAAGACCAACTATGAAATCCAATATTCATACAAGAGGTAGACCCCTGAATACCAATATCAATGAAGAACCAAAATATGATGTCTATTCACAGCAACAAGAGAATGCTCCGATTTTTGATAGATCTTCAATGCCTAACTTCAGCAAGGAATCTCAGCTGCGAGGAAACAGAGCACAATTACTGGCTAGGCCACATACTCCAGCCCTCCACAGACCACTATTGCGTGGTGAAAGTGCCAACTGCCCCAGACAGGAAACCCCAATGCGTTTCAGAGGACCAAGACCCGGACCACCTTTAGGGGTACAGCACAGTTCAGATGTTGATGCACATACCAAACAAGTATTCTCTGGTCGTGAATCAGTACAACAAGCTGAAATGGCTAGACAGATTCGACCTCCTCATCCAGCAAGGGAAGGATCATTCGCTGGTATGTTTGTGTTGTTATGAGAATTTATGTATTACATGAATATATTTATTACATTGTTTACTATTTCATCAGATTCTACCATTCAAAAGCTGACTGGTGTGGATTTTGACAATCTGAAGGCCAGTCTTGCTAACATTCGTCAAGCACAACAACTTGAAATAAAATCAGACAGCAAGGTATTTTATAAATCACTGTGTGTTATTTAAAGACTCTATAGTAAGAGCTGCTCCGCTGAATGCCCAATTAATTATTTTATGGCATTTTTAAACATTTTCCAATTTTAAACTATTTAAATCAAATATTTTGAACTTATTTCTGATGTTTTACATTGATTCAGTAATTAGCAGTAGAACTGGGAGTTATAGGAAGTTTAATTCTGGTATCCTTATTCCTTATCACTTCTGGATCTCTGACTCACTGGAATTTTTCTGAGGAATCATTTTCTTTTCAGCGTCCATATGAGATGACAGATCAGGAAATATTTGGTAAGCAGTTCCCAGGTATCTATTTTTTCTGTTAGATAGATTTTTTAGTGATCTTTGCTAAAAATAATTAATTAACTTTTTTGTTTTATTGGTATTATGGGATTAAAAATTTTATTTCAGCTTATTTTCTTGTGGTTGCATGAGTAAAAATACATTCTGTAACAGGTGAACACATGGAGGATGTGGGCTTTGCAGGTGGGGATCAAAATTTGAACCAACATTATCCTTCCAGTGAAACAGAAAATCAGTATCCCAGGAATGATGATCATTATAGAATTAAAAGTCAGCGAATGAGGGGAAATGAACGGCCTCCTTTGTCTGGTGAAAGAGACCGAGATGTTTCAAATGCACCACATATTTTGCAAAATCGTAAACAACCATTGTTGCCATTACCCAAATCAGATGACATTGGTCCTGTGGGTCAGTTCAATAACCCATATGATTCTCGCAACACTATGTCGCATCCACCAATTGAAAGGAGCAATCTTGATAGAATGCAGTATAATTCACAGGATAGGATTCGAAACAGAAAAGAACCCCATTTGATGCAACCTTCTGGCGGAAGAGATGGACAACAGCAAGTTATGTCTGATGAAAAATCCCAGAGACCGAATTTTTCGGATCCTTCGATTGGAACTAGCTATACCAAGAACAGACCACTGCTTCCAAATCCAGAGAAAAATAGAATACCTGTCCATCAACGTCCGCCATTTAATGCTCCTGATCTCAATCAACCTAGACATTCTAATCAATCAGACCAAACCTCGTCAGTAATTGCAGAAAGGCCCAGGCTTCATGAAAGTCCCCATAGGAAATCTCCACATTCTAGAGAGCGATCCAAAACTCGTGAAAGACGATCTGAGCGTGACTCTAAAAGTCGGCATGTAGATGACAAAGTTGATTCTAAAGATAGAAGAGATTCATCAAAAGATTCTAGAAGTGAAAAGGACTCAAGAGATTCTAGGAATGACAAAGATTCTAGATCGAAGCGAGAGTCCAGCAGACATGGCTCAAGAGAACAGGATAACAATAAAAAGGACTCTGATAGTCGACGTACACGAGACCGAGATCGTGACAGAAGCTCTAGAAGAAGGGAAACACGTTGGGAACCAACTGAAAGAAAATCTCCTCGATCTCGAAGTCCAGTGCGAGATAGAAAACATTCACCGAGCCTTAATAATAGGAACATACCGGTGAGAGATATCGAAAAAATAAAATCAGAACTGGAACTTGAAAGAGCAATGCTTCAAGCTAAAAAGGAAGCAATGGAACAAGCTAAAAGAGAAATGTATGATGAGCCTGTAAGTTTTGTTTGAATTTTTTTCATTTATAACTTATCAGTTTGTTTGTCTTGGAAAAAATAATATTGAAAGATTTAATCTGTCAGGATCTGTTTCTAATGACATTGCTATAGCTTTGGTTACCATAATTTATCGTATTCTACAGGCACAGAATGCAGGTGAATGGGATCAACTCACTGCTGTCCAAAGTCTTCTGATGAAGGAGAAAGCAAGTATTGGAGGTATTCTAGATTTGTCAGATTCAGCCTTTCAATATTTGTTGTTATACGATAAAAGAACTCTCAGTTTCTGTGATCTGTTTGTACCTTGATTCTAAGCTTATTATTTAATTTTGGTAGAAAAACTCTCTAGCACAGTTCTAATTTAGGAATCAAATGACTGAATATTATTTTTGAATCACTATACCTCTTTCAATTAATATTTTTTCTAAAACAATGCTTCGAATACTCCAGATGTATATGTTGTATGGATATCACTAAGGCAATATTCACTTGTGTTTAATATTGTTGAAGCTTTTTGAATGATAAATTTCTTTTACCATTTGTTATGCAGTACACAATGATATCCTTCCAAGTTTATTGGACCTGCCTGTGAATGAACAGCCTGGACTGTTAGGTGCTCATCCGTCAAGTTTGGAACCACAACTAAGGTTGGTTATCAAGTTTTCAATAAACTCTGTTAACAAAATATAATTTTTTTTGTCTTTTTCATTATCGATTCGTGCTCTGGTATTAGTTGAATTAATATCGAAGAAATTGTCAAGTTTTTGTGAGCTTGTCTTAAAGATTTTTCTGTTTCACAGATTCCCATCTGAATTGCCAAGTCAGTTAATTGATTCTGCTGTTCGTATTCGTGGACCTCAGACGCCATTTGCCATTGACGCAATTAGGCATCAGATTGGTGAAAGACCTATGCTCCATGCAAACAACTCATCGCATGAGCCACGAATGTCATTACTTGGTAGTCCACATGGACCTCCAGGTCTTGAAAAGAATCGTGCGTCAGATCATGAAGGTTTTGGGAGAATACCAATGAGACTTCGCTCCCCTCTTCCCAGACCTGCCTTGTTGGGTATGACTATAAATATTGTCACAGTAGTGATGCGTTAAGATCAATTTTTCCTCCCATTTAATTTTTTTTTCAGACACTCCAATACTTGAGCCTATGGATGATGAACTCATAATGGAAAGTGATGATATGCATGATTTTCAGCCAATATACGCAAATTTCTAGACCAAGAGTACGTGGGCCTCGGCCAGGTATGCCTCGTGGACTTCTGAGGGTACGAAATCCTCGACCAATAGGCTTGGAACCGACTGGGTTACGTCCACCACCATTGCGTCTGAGAGGCCCAAGACCGCGTTTGCGAATGGGAAGTCCTGGCTCTGGAGAAGAGGTTTTTAGACTTATTGAGGGCCTGAGGCGTGCCAAACCCCCAAGGATGCGATTTCAGGGTGATGGTATTGTGCGCCAGACCTATTCGTTTACCTGCCTGGGCAGCGCTTCCACAGACCCATGCGACCAAGATTTCCACTGGACCATGAAGAGGGTATGGCATTATGTAAAATGTTATTTAATTTTATTCTATCAGAATTTGGTTGAATTCAAATTATGTTTTCAGGGCCAAGAGGAGGTATGTTTCGCATTGGCGCGACCTGCTTACCAACAAGCTCAACGCCCAAGGCGCATTAGGCCAAGATTCGTTGGGAATAACTTAATGTGATTTTCTATCAAGGTAAGCCTGACCGTAAGTGTTTATATAATTTGGCTAGAACTCTGGGGTTCCCAAAATCTGATCTTTCAAGCTGTAATTGCCAGATGCTCTATCTAAATGATGTTAAAGTAATAACTTATTCACAATGAATGACATCGTCCGAAATCGAAGTTGAGGCAAGTATGTAGCCTACCGAATAGCGAAAGTCAGTTATATGGTATTCCAATCCTTTCTGGTCCATAATAGGAAAAATGCTGTGTGCCATGTCATTTTTTGAGAAATCCTTGTTATAGCTTGTTATGTTTTTTACTTCTGGTAAATTCTCTATTAGAAAATAAGTTGATTAGTGGTAACATTGGCAGCCAAATTTCACCAAAATTTTAGAAACCTGTAAGCGGCCTAAGCATAAGAACCAGGCCAAATAAAATTTGGGAACTTCTACCCCAGTTGATCATGCATGGGGACGTAAAACCATCACGAAGAGCCATAAACTAATTGTTGTGAAATGACATAAGTAGGATGCAATTTTAATATGAAAAATATTACAAAAATATACAATAGAACAGAGCCAGTGTCATATTAAGATAACAAACTGCGGAGCAAAGAATTGTTCTTCCAGTCTACCTCTGTAATGGTTATTTTCAGCACACAAACAAAACAATTTCTCATTAAAACACTAAATTTATAACAAATTAATAAAACTACATATTTAAGCTTGACTTATTTATTTCCACACATACCTCAAGAGTTGAGCAAGACAATTAAAAAAAAGCTTCCAAACAATAATTTAAATAGAGAATCATAGCTAATAGTACTAATTTATATTTATAAAATGATATCGGGGGTTTTTGTATACACAAGCGCTAATTTATTAAACAATCTAATCTTGGAAATGGCTGAATCATTCTCTGCAAATTTTGCCATCAGTGTTTTTATCTCAAAATTTCTGTAGTGAGAATCCATGAGGATATTGCTGAAAGTTCATAGTAAATGTCTTTCTATTGTAATTCAAATGAGTAATACTGCGTTAAGACTGTACCGATAACAAATTTAGGTTTATTTTATTATACTGCCAAGCTTCATGATTGCTTTGTACCAACCATGACTGTATGAGTCTAATATTACTCTTTATATTTACATTCAGCAGTGTAAAGCCAGTAACATCTTCAACGTTGTATCTACATAAAATGTATGAGTCTAATTTTGTCAAATGAAAGTATTTTAATCTTAAATAGGTGATGCTATCAATATAATTTCATACGGTAAAAGCTATATACTGTTGAACATGTAACCTTTAAGATTTGGAATAATTTGTGCGATTCTCAATAACCAATAAGATTTAGACTTAGAGATACATTCACCAATTAACCAAAACTTACATTAATGCTTTTTTGACAAACAAACGATTTTCACATATGCAAATGAATGTGCTTCAAGCTAAATTCAATATGCTTGCTTTGTTCAAGTAACATAACCAAATTGTGTTATACAAACTTTGTCTCCATATATTATTGATGTTGAACTTAAAATGCAAATGACAAAGTAAAAATTTTTCAAACCGTCAGAATCTTAAATTCGCCACAAACAGGAATTGCTTAACATGTTCATTGAAATATATCAGTAACCAGGTCACCTTGACACTTCAGTAGGATCAAATAGCGCTGACTGAGAAATCCTGATATTAAAAACAAAACAAATTTTAAGTAACAAAACACTTTTTTTATAATTTAGACAAGCTATGTTGTGTAGAATATGTAGGTACTGCTAAGCAGTGCTTCATTGTATGTTGCTGTCATGTTGAGAGTATTCCTGACACCAACCTAAGTTCACTTTACCAAATAAAAGGATTCATTTATGTTTTATGATAATAGAAAACTTGTTTTTTTTTTCATCTTGATACCCAAATCTCCAATGTTAGTTAGCCCGCTTATGGAAGTGTAAGCAGAAATGTGCCGCCCTAGATGATCGCAATCAATCGAATCGAAAACATACTTATTTGTAACATGGGATACAAGTATAAACATGATAGTAATATATATATCAGAATAACAACAATGTTATAAACGTGAATAATCAGGCAATAGTCAATATTACCCTTCATTTCCATGATTTTGAAGCCACCTCGATCATTTTACATACACGAAATTCTCAGGTGGACATCGGAGTTGTATATTTATACGTGGCTTATATTATTAGATGTAATATGTTGTTAATTTCTACACCCGTAAATTGCGTATAATACTAGTTGTTCCGAGTTGGTTGTCTCAGGGCAAGTTATAGATTCCAAAATCGCGTATCTTTTGTGCAGTTACTCTCCGTTTTTTCCAAACTTTGTTTGTCCGCGCATTGTTCTTGTCTCCTGTCATGGAAGTGTTCCAAAATAGCACAAAATAGTGAGTTCAGTTCTGTCATCGTTGTGAGCTCTATTTGTACACTCGTTACCTATAAAATTGTATAACAATGTTCCTCGACTGTTAGGGGACTTGAGCGTTGTGCCCACCATAGTCTGGGATATATACCGTACCATATATACCGTAATTGATACCAAGTAAACTTCTCTATTAGTATAGGCGCAGTTCGTGTTCATCGCTTGTTTATGAATTCTATAGAATCGGGAGATGAAGACGTTGAGTCAGAGTGGGATGAGTTTTAAAAAAGTTGTAATCTGTTTAATCTTTGTGAAACTTGACAATGACAACGACATTCCTGTACTGGGTAAAAGCAAACATAAATTTTCCACACCGATTATATATTTTTACTTTAGTGCATATACGCTAATATCATTCACATAGCTATCATGCTGTACTTCAGTTTGTTTACATCGTGTGGCCTTTGGTATCATATATATATATCCCTTTCCTAATTCGAGATTACAGTTAGAATATAATTTCTGCCGTTAATGATTTGCCCGTTGCAAAGTCAACTTTTGGAATTTGTTGTCGTTTTGGAGGAATAGCGATTGTTGCAATACCAACAAACAGTTCAGTTGCAGAGTATGCAGTCGTGATGACTGCCTTTATGCAGAATGTTTACGAAACTGTGATATTGTTGATCTGTGCTTCCCCCTCCAAGTCCCTCGTCCAGATTGCCTATAAATTAGATGCTTGTACTGACAAAATACAAATATAGAGAACTCTTTCGTGTCCATATTCACGATAAATGATCATTCTAATGAAATAACTTGAATGATTGCGTCAAAATAAAAAATAGTGGCAAAGTGCTGATTGGAAGTAGATAAATGAAAAACGCTGAGCAAAGACCGAGAGCGACAGTTGCCTATACAAAGGGGTGCTTGTCTTTAAAGCACATTCTAATATCTTATTTCATATACACAGAGTTTTCAACCTTTAATCGGCTTGCAGTGTTTCAGAGGTTATTTGATTGTATTTACATTCCATATTATTATCTTTAGAGCGCGAACTTTATTTGTCTCCAGGGCAACGGAATTAAATTAAAATGCAATTATTACAAGATTTGGAAAGGACTAACAAGATTAAAAACAAATTTTGTCGAGTGTAACGCCATTTTGCCGAAAAAGCGTGCACTCAACCTCGTGCATTGCGTCCCGTAAAACAGAATTTAATTTTGACGATTGTCTTCGATTTTCTCTCTGTTACAATGGCCGTTTTTGTTGTCACGACAAGTCCTCTTCCCGCTCTACAAAATTGTTCTTGTTATAATTGAAGTTTCATCACGGTTATGCCATTGTGCATCGGGAGCGCCTCACCCGAAAGTCGGTGCGCGCAATATTATTGCCGTTTTCTGTCCCATCCCATAGCAATTTATGCCTGTTCCATCACATGGGATGGATTCTCATTGGAATACAATTCAATAAAAAAATGTTTGGGTTTAGCATCTACTAAAATCTAGAACAACATGTACAAAGAGACTTGCAAAACGACAAAATTTATCGACTTTGTTAACTTTGAAATTCACTATTATATAACTAACAAGAGAGCTATGCTCAAATATATGGACACGGGGTCCATATTTTTTTTCCAGGGCTCATTTTAAGACTAACAAGAGAGCTATGCTCAAATATATGGACACGGGGTCCATATTTTTTTTCCAGGGCTCATTTTAAGGTTTTGCGAGTTGGCGCTTGTAAAATGGGGTATTTGTTTCAAACCATCATAATTATTCATCGCATACAACAATCTGTTTTTTAAAAGTACAGGTAAATAATTTTAGCCTAGTCTATCACAGCTATTTCTAAACTAATTTTTCATCATTGCAATTAAATTAAAACTCTATAGGCAGAGTGATCACTGAATTATCCAATTTATATTCAAACTTCCGAAACACAACTGAAAACTAACGAATAGAGTTTAAAAATGCGAAAACTAGGTAATGTTTACGACCACGTCTGAAAATCTGTGAGTGAGAAAAGTGTCTTGAGCGGATGCGAAAAGGAAGCATTGTTACGTCACTTTTTGCATCTTGCTGAATGGCCAATGTCACGAAGTAAACAAGGAAGTCGGTGCTCGGGGAAAGGTCCATTCTCCGAGAATCATACGGTATCTCAAACAAACACCTGATTATGATATATGGGAAATCATCCGATTTTTAAAAAACGGGTTTCCATGAGTAAAAATAATACAGCGAAGTTCTGGATGAAATATCAGATCTCAACGGATTCATAGAAAATTTAGGAATAAATAAAAGTATTAGCCTTGTAGCGTAAAATACAATCTTTAACAACCGAAATTTCAAGGCAATTGGCTCAGTAATTAAAGCGATTTTTTTCATAACGATGGGAAAGAAAATTCTAAGAACAATAACAACGTCATAACAAAACATCCCTCTTAGGTCCACTCAGTGTCCAATAACTGAATAATTCCGTGCCCCAATGGAAAATACAAATGTGTGCTGTCCCATACCATCCCATGGACAAGCCTGCGTCATTGCATCTATGTCACAACCTTATATCATATCAAACCCCGTAATTTATATTAAATATGTTTCTTTCTATCATTAAATGTGTAGAACTTTTATAACGTCAACAGTATTTTCTGTCGGTATCAGCAGAACTTTGGGAGTCACAAATATTGTTAACACTATGGTAAACCGCGTAGCTTTTTTACATCTTCGATAAAAGACTTTCAGAAGCTATAAAGTCTACATCTGGGTATTGATTTATTTCAGTCCGAATAGATGTTCTTGTTGCAAGAAACTGGCAAAAGCTGTACGTCGTTATACCGTAGACAAGCCAACCTTGGTTCGATTCCGAGGCTTATTAATTTAACATTTCTCGTATCATTGTGGGTAGATTACGGGCATCAAAATTAGCTGTAAATCTTATTCAAATATCCTCTATTTTACTTCAACTCATTAGAAAACTTGCACTTTGTTTTGGTGATTCAACGAGCAGTAGAGATGGATGTTAAATTTAACGTATGATTCATACCTGTTATCATAACTATGAATTAACAATTTATTTCCCCATCCGAACTAGCGAAGTGAGGTGCGAATCCGTGGTAAATCGGCTGCAATATTGAAGAAAATAATTGATCGATATCAAATAAAAAAAAGATGCCTGTCATACTGCATAATCCGGACACTTGGGTCTACTACCCGGGACGGCGGGACAACCTGTCGAGTCTCTCCCGGCTAAACCGGACGTATGGTAGCAAAGCAATAATATTTTCAACATATATTGGGTAGTGTTCGTACTTCACATTTAAAGCTTTCGATTCAACATATTACGAATATGGTTCCAAAATTGACAATATTGGTACACAAGGAGATAGATTGATAACCACTCGTGACAAACTACCAAAATATATTTGTAGTGGTCGTGGACACTGGCAGTTTGGTGGCATGCCAGCGTCGACAGAAAACACACCAAACGGTTTCTTGCAACACATATTAAACTGAAAACTAATGAACACTTGTATATATATATAAATGTGGAGGAACACATCCAATCTCCTCCTTGTGTGTAATGATGATTCCCATATGAAAAGCATTCGATATTGAATGTTCCACGCTTTTCCCAGTTGTATATATATAATTTCATTTGAATACTTAACTCTCTGCCATAGTAATATACCTATCCAAGACGTACATAAATCCGACCTCGTATGCTTGTCGTAGCCCACAATGTATATATAGAATAGTTGAACAAGCTCGTTGAAAAGGGATCAAGCGCGATATTGTTGAGACACCGTTCTGATATACGATATTGCAGTTTGCCGGATGGTATTCCTGAAGTGCGATAAGGCAGTTTTCAGAGTATTGATGACTCGAAGTTTCAAGTTGTATGGTTTTGTAACACTTTCATTCTTCCTTTAACAATATTGTGTGTTCAATAACCATCTTTGCCGTCAGTCTAAACTGACGTGGCGTATCCTAAAAATTATGAAACCGGTATATATTTGCCCTCGTAATATTCATTAAAAATACGAAGACGACTGGAACCTTTTTCACTGTTAAGTTTGGGGACGCTCCGGAAGTATTCGTACCAAGATGGCGCACAACCTGAACATAGTATGTGTACCAGGTCGGGGTTGTTCAGGTTGTGCGCCATCTTGGTACGAATACTTCGGGAGCACCAGTTTGGGGACTACGCAAAAGCACGATATATGTCACAAATTGAAAAAATTCATAATCATTAATAACCCCTCTTTAAACGGATGGTAAGACAAAGAAGCAAGTAAAATTCCAGTTTTAAACAACATTGGGAATTTTTCAATATACATCATTGTGCCGAAACAAATTGCCTTTTTATAAATAAGATATATATTAAGAAATCAAGTGACAACCATAACAAATACCTTGAAAAATAGTATGTCTCTAAAGAAATGTTTGATCAGCTACATGTTATATGACCCAGTCCAGTATATATATTTATAATAGTTTGACATAGTCTGTTTTCGTGTATATTGTCAGTATGGAATAGTCAGATGCACCCATGTGTCGACGAATTCACAGCTACGCAATAACGTTCTTAATTATATGAGATGTATCATGTAGTACTTATCAAGAGACTTCCATTTGAAATCAGGCGCTGTAAAGATAGTCGCAGTGGTACGCAAGTAGCTATTACTTTTGTGACGCTGAAAAATTTATTCAGTTCTTCTATACCCACCTCGTTAACTAGTACTCACGGTCTGTGTAGATCTGACATCGTTGAATTCATCAATTCTTAAACTTGTCAGGTTCGCTGCACTGTTTTATCAAATAAATTAAATTGTTGATTATATTATCATTTTCTTGGCTCTAGAGTTGGACCATTTTCCATCGTTTAAATTAGTTCGGGAGGGCGAATTTGATTATTTGATATTATTTGATTATTTAACTTTACTGCATTGGCCTTATCGCCCTATTTTGCGAGCTTACGTATTATTAACTTAGCTTTTCCATGCATTGACCTAAAAATTTGATCATTTATATTTAACGTTGGCGAGCCACTTCACTTTGCTGCGTCAGCTGGTTTTGCAATGCACCCATGTGTGTTCTTGAAAATGTTTGCTTTTCTGATGGTCATGTCTTTTTCAAAGATGTTTGTGCATAATTCACAATTTAATGAGGCTATAAGTCGCAAAACCATCAGTAAGTGGATGTGAAATACGTATTTGTTGATGATGTATTCACTCGTAGTAATTTAAAGAAGACGTAGAAGTATGAATATTATATATATGCAATTACATACACATTCCTTCAGTAGACGTTTGGCCCATGTTTAAAATTTCAAATCACTTTTTCGAAAATTTATATTTTGCATTGATTTCAATTATCGGTTTAACTCCTTAATGTTTACCGAACAATAACAGGACAATCATCTTCCTAACAAAAATATATTGAAAGGAATAGACCTAAATTAAGCATAATTGACCTCTCACAATAGTAGATATGGGGTTGTAGAGGTAACGGCTAGTATACAACAAATAGGCCATAAAGTTCTAAAACTAGTGATGGAAGTCTAAATTCTAGAAACGGGTTGTCTTTAATCGAGCTCACTAACAATAGGTTCACTGATTGATTTATATTTTAAATGCGCATCATATCTATCAAAAACGAGTGCAAATACCTTCATGTAATAAATATGATGCATTCTTGAAACAACCTGTTCGAACTAATGTGATATTGTCTTTATCATTCACAGAATTTCAAACCTTTCTTTGAATCCAACTGCGAGTTTTTTCTTATATTTTCATACTACTAGCTGTAATCTTTATATACACTGATAACCTGTCCGATATATAGTTGCGATAAAATCATTTGTAGTCAGCGACCATCAGTCTGCAGCTGTTTGAATAATTCATATAGTAAATTGTTAATTCGTGAAAAAATGACGCCTTTTGAACATGTTCACTTAATGCTTGTGACGAATCGAAAACACCTTAAAATTCCCAGCAGAAATTTATTTATAAAGATCGAGAAGACCTCATATAACTTCAGAATCACCTACTTTTGAAGTCAAAATTCTATCATTATGATTTGGTTTTTAGGCAAAAAATGTGAGATTTGATTCAATTTTAAGTTAACCTATTATATATCTTGAAAATTCACCGCCTGTAAACTGAAATCGCTCCTCAATGATTAGCGGAATCTCCAGCGCATCTTGCGTCGGTCCAAATTTATATATATATATATTTTATTTCGTAAGCTTGGACAGTTGCTTTTAAAAAAAAAACTTGCTGCAGTGCTCAAATACTTTACAATTTTCAAACATTTATTCGACAGATACACGTTCTGTAAGTTGACAAGTTGTTGTTTCCAAGCAAGAAGATAAATGGATTTGTGAAAACTATAAGCAGGCCTTCACATTGCGCTTGCCACTACCTTTATTAGACCTTATTATGCCAGTTGTCCTGTTACTTGCTTCGCTACTCACCACCGTTTCATGGGATCTGTCTGTTGGAAGAGAGAAGAAGCACGAAGAATTTTTCAAGTTGTGTAAAGGCCAAAGGCTATGGGACGATTTAATTGTGAATAAGTTGCAACCCGCTGTACATAAGCTCGGTTCATTTGTTTTTAGTGGCTTTTAAAATAATAGCAGACATGTGCAACAAAAATGGTGGTATTGTATTTAATATGATGGAATACAAATCGTCACATGATAGAAAAGAGATTTTCCCATCCTAATCACTCTTAAAAACAAATTATGTGAAGATGACTCTAATGTTTTACAGCCGAAATGGTGGTTTTAGGCATTAAAAGAAGCGACTTATGACAGCACAAGGTGGACAACGGATTTCGGTTTTGCAGTGTACATAGGCTGCTTCAATCGCTGACAAAAACCAAAGTCGCCGTGAAAACCTGACTCTCTGGTTTTCGAATTCCACTAAGATCGTGGTACCCGACTCGAAAATTGCAGATATGAATTTGAATCGAAATAACACAAGTCGCGTATATATGATGTCACAAAACATTTAATCATTTCTCGAAAAGTATGTGACTCCACACCGTGCGGTATACTATACAGTCAAATCATTTACAGCATTAACAGGAACACAGTACCTAGTCTACTATGCGTCACCGGTATCGAACAACCTCCGACTTTCGCGTAGCACGTTTTCGCAAAATCAAATTAGAAGACAGCCATGACGTTGAGCGTGTTAAAACCGTGTTCACGTGGATAAAAAAATAATACAGCCATATTTTGGGTGAAATATCGTATCTCACAAGATTCATAGAGAATTTAGGAATAAATAAAAGTAAGCCTCCTAGCGACAACAACAATCTTTAATCACTGAAAAATTCAAAGCAATTGGTTCAGTAGGTAAAGAGAAATCGATTTTTTCACAAGCGAAAGAAGAACAACGACACAGAAACGAACCATATATATGTACATTTCTTGTCCAATAACGCCATCGCTTCGCTGGCATTTATTTCCAGTGGAAAAATTTCGGTCCGTCCGAATGATCCGAGTTTGAGCCAGGAATAATAATAGTGTAGGCGTTGGTTATTCTTATCTTGTGTCGGGTGATGATTAGGATGTATATATCAAGGTTCTGAATTCCTATAACGGTTTGCATGTTCTAAAGGAATTACTTCCGTAATAAAACGAGATGTCCAGACATAGAAGCGATAGAAGTTAGTCCAGGGGTGGGCAAGGTTTTCGGACCAGGGGCAAAAAATTTTGCCCATCTAGACTGGCGGGCCATGTAAGTATCAAGTAAAAGTTACATTTTATGGACAATATTTACAGTGTTACAAAAGCAAAAATGGAAAACGAGAATCCTCATGCCAAAACTCAATTTGATTGCGATCCCAACAATTTCTTGAGTTATTTTTTGCTAAAATTTTGTTTTAGTTTGATTGTGACAGCATCGAGCGGGCCAGATTGAATTACCCAACGGGCAGGATTTAGCCCGCGGGCCGTAGATTGTCCATGTCTGGGTTTAGTCTAACGCTACAACCTCTAGGTCAGTGATTTCCCTACACCCCCCCTAAAATTTCAAACACCCCCCCTAATTTTGAGGTGCGATTCAACACTGAGGGGTTCTAAACCGCAGTCTGCGGGTCAATTAGGCCCGCGTGACGATTTAAAATGGCCCGCCGAACTTGAGTGAAATAGTTTAACCCTTCATGTGGTACCTTTTGAGTTTTAGATACCGTCTATTGTTACATCATTATCACAGTTTAAGCACGTTTATTTCGTAACAATTGAATTATTCCGGTATCTTATGTATAGGTATGGGTATTATGTTTACACACTGCAGTATTTTAGATATCAGCCATATATTAAGAAAGCTTAAAGATGTCACAAAACGAAAACTAGGACTGAAAACAGACGTTTTTTAGATGAATGACAGCGTTTTTATTTCTTTATTGAAAAGAATCAAACTTCAGCGATTTGTCTCCTTACAAAATATTTCAGTTCTGAAGGAATACAACATTATGCGACATTATGATCAGTTGACGAGCGTATTTCAAAATTTAATTCATACAAAAGTCAAACAAACATGTTCAAAAAAATTAGAAATGTGTAACAAAACAAGCCATAAGTAGCCATTCATACAATGCCAGATGAGCAAGTAACCTCATTAGTCACTATCAGTTGCAAATTACTTGTTGAAACGTAGTAGTATATATTTTCGGTTGAAAGCCGTGCTTGTTATCTATTCCCCGAGAATTCTATCAGGTAAATATTATAATTATTGATTTTATTACATAACAAACTGCGATGCTAGGTGTATCTAAAATCAAGCTTAGAGCCTATTTTGGTGCCTATTTCTCAAAATTTTCTCAGGGTGCTTAAGCGCGCCCTGAACCCCAGCCGTGTCGTCCCGCACTTTTCCTCGCTCCCCTTTTCTGGCCCTACAATTTCATTCTGCTGTGGATTTTGGCTCGCCGGCAATCAACTCGGGGGGCCCCCATGTACATCGTTTCTTAAATACATACCATTTTTTTAAGAATGCAAATAGCCTAGTTTTATCTCTAATAGCAAATTATTTACCACCCCCTAAATTTTGAAACACCCCCCCTAAAGAGAAAAGCTGGGGAACATACTGCTCTAGGTACAGGCTAACCCGCCCACGAATTGCTGGAATGTTTCTCGTATGACAAGGGTGATGATGAAGGCGAAACTAGTGAATCGATCGACTTCAAATATTGAGTGCTCACAAATAGAAGAAGTTGCCAATAGGTTAGGTTTACCATACGTCCCGTTTAAGGCAAGACAGTCCCAGTTTTTAACATTTTGTCCCGGCCGGTCAGCCAAAAGTCCAGCTTTGTCCTTAATCTTGCATAAAGCAATAATGATCATTCCTCGAAGGTTTCTGCTTAATTAATGACAACGCAGTGACCAAATAGCACCAAAAAAATACGAATTACGTCATTGTTAGAGATGGGGCTGACAATCAGCTGAGCATGGGACCTCTCAACGTCTCAATGCGACCCTGCCCTCATCTCATGTAATAATTGGGCTCATTTTCTACTTTATCAGATGCCACAGATCCTTGTGAATATACCACGGAGAGTCATAATCAAATACTTGACTATTTCAAATACATTATTCAGCGTGACATCGACATCGTTGAGCTGAAATCCGCCACAATTATTCCTCCTCACAGATATTGACCGTTGTACTACTGGGGGAATTGATTTTTATTTTGCTCACTAAACGGTACTCCCGATGTATGTGGAGCAAAGCGGAAACCGGAACGTAGTACCAGGTTAGACTTAGGCCATAATTTTATTCCAATTTTAGTTCTATTACGAGTTCGGGAACTAGCCAAGTGTCTCCCGTAGTATTTGTACCTGAAATTATGGCCTAACCTTAACCTGGTACACACATTACGTTCCGGTGTCTGACATCTCGGTCGACATACTTCGGGAGTACCTACGGAACTATACGTTCGTTCAGAAATCGTTATGTTACTACTCGATCATCGTCATAATCAAATACGATTCACAAATTTCCATCCGTCAATGGCGGAGAATGGACCTTTCCCCGAGCATCGACTTCCTTGTTAACTTCGTGACATTGTCCAATCAGCAAGATGCAAAAAGTGACGTAACAATGCTTCCTTTTCACATCCGCTCAGACACTTTTCTCACTCAGACAGATTTTCAAGCGTGGTCGTAAACATTACCTCGTTTCCGCGTTTTTGGACTGTATTCGTTAGTTTTCAGTTGTGTTTAGGAAACTTAAATATAAATCAGATAATTCAATGATCATTCTGTCTTCCTAAAAGTTTTAATTTAATTTCAGTAATAAAAAACAAGAGAGCAATCTTAAATATATGGACACGAAAACTATTTGCAATAATTGCATCACGCTGTTAAACCGGCAAATATTTTTTGCATTGATGAAACCGCGACCACCATATTTCATAACATGTTGAACACTATTGGAAAGATTGTAATGCTTCTTTATTAGCATATTGATGTTGTTTACCGCAGAACTGTAATGAAAAAAGGCTAAAAGATGAGCATAAACATTGCAGCTGTGCAAGCGTACAAAAAAATGGAATAAGTTAATTTGACTGCAAATGCAGTAAGAGTAAACATGTAAATAAACTTGATATGATTTGGCACATACCTACGTCATTGACTGTACAGTGGTCATATATTTCATTCTCACATCTGCAACTTGCAACAATTTGATTTTTAAAATAGGTGAGTATCGATCAATTTATATTTGATAAAAGTGAACAATCACAGCAATATAAAAAACAGATGACAAAATGACTTATAGTTTGTCTTTAAACGTGTTCCCATATACCGTAAATGAAATATTATTTACTGCTTAACAAATTTTTGTATGCCTCTTTCAGGACATGATTCCACACATGAATCACATAAAAAACATTTTTAATTAACTTTCAGCCCATGCTTTTGGATAACGATAGAGCAAAGCATATTTTAATACTGGTGTTAAGGAGCCCTGTCCTTATGCTATCCTTACCAGCTGGCGACTAGCAAGCATATGTGATAGCAGAAATAGTTTCATTTGCTCCAGCTTTCAGACGTGTACTGGAACTGCATCATTATAGGAGAAGAGCACATTGTACACTTGATGAGATTACCCTCAGAAAAATACGTAGGCTGTAATAGTAAGACTGCCTCTGGTGGCGACAAACTTGGGTAAGTTGGAACATTTTTCTTATGGATGCAGTTTTGATGGATTTGGGGTTAGGTTTCAGGTTTATGTAGATATAATTCTGCATAATAAACTAAAACTTGATACATGACTTTCTCAATATAACGGTGCTACCGCCATAAAATCACGGCAAGAGACGGCGCGGTTCGTTCGTGGTAGCAGCCGCCATGCAGTGGTAGAACTGCGCCGTATTTTTACTGTGTAGGATTTTGATTGACCTCGGGAAAAGATAAAATAGCGAAAATATGAAATATATTTCACTATTAGACATTTGATATGCTGGCCACTTAAACTAATCAAATCCATGCTTCCGAAAACAAATAACTAACTAATCCCATACCAGACTTGGAATGGTACCTTACCGGTAACCAGACAAGAGGCTGTGGTTCGCAATATGGTTAAGCCGTTCTATAGGCTTTCCTCTCCATCGGGATAATTATGTAAATCTTATCCTTTTTGTAAAGTCTCTTCCTCTGCATATTTCTGTATTTACTGATTTATGTACACTAACCTGCTGCACATGTTGAAATTTTTGTGAAGTTTCTTCCTCTGCATACGGTACCATACGTATTTATGCAAATGTTGTTTCCAAAAAAATGTAACGAAACAGCGAAAAATTAGAAAGGCATAGCAGCTGTGCAGACATGCTGGCTCATTACAAAAACTTAATTTCAATGCAGGCACACACTCTAAACAAATATAATTAATGCAATTAGTACAGTAATACTGTACTAGTCTACCGATATCGTACCTGTACAGCTGTACCGGTACGTACCGTAAAAGACTACGGTACCGGTATCGGTAAGACGGTACGTAAACGGTACCGGTGGCGGTACGTGTCGTACAGGCCACAGGGACTGTCAAAGCTTTCCCAGCTATCGCACCGGTACCGGTATCACTTTCGCTTAACACGGGAACCACAGTCTACAAATACTGAAATATATGGAAAGTGAACATTGATTGATTGATTGAACACCGAGCGAAACAGTACCGGTAGTTTAACTTAACCTCAAAAACCTTTAGAGTTTATTGAGAAATAATTTGAAATACCAACTGATAACAGTAAATACCGCAGTCAACAAATATATGGTCACCAAGCGAAGCTGTAGTAATAGTCAACTAGCTAAGAAGTTATCGCAAACCGTTGCATTGCGGGTACCGGTAACCCCAAACATCTCGATTCCTCATAAACAACTCTTAGCGGAGCAAGAATTACGATCGCTTCTCAGTTGATATGCCTTCGCGCAATCGCCACAAGGTGTCACTATTTTTTATTCTGATCACTTCTTTGAACACAAAAAACGAATCTCTCGAAGTCCACAGGAAATTTTAAAATAAATAAAAGTAATAGCCTTCTGGAGAAAAATTTTATCTCCAACCACTGAAAATTTCAAAGCAATTGGTCCAGTATTCGAAGAGAAAAGCGACTTTTTAAAAACGTGTCAAAGAACAAGAACAACAACAACATAATATTGAAACGATCGTTATGTCCACTTCGTGTCCAATTAGTGTAAAAATAGCTGTGATAGACTAGGCTAAAATTCATTCACCGGTACTTTTAAAAAACAGATTGTTGTATGCGATGAATCCTGATGATGGTTCGAAAACATACCCCATTTTACAGGCGCCAACTCGCAAAGGCACTCTTAAAATAGCCCCGAACATTTTCTAATGGTAAAGTATAGGAAGAATTTTTTGGGGGTCAAAGGTCGGGGAAAGGTCCATTAAGACTGAAAATCGTGTTTTAATTTTCTTCAAGTCAGCTCTGATTTAAATATTTCATGTCGGCTGTTATGCTATTATTATTGCTTATAAATTAATACCGCAAACTTGAACTGAACAATATTAATATCAACGACCCCAGTCTAACAATAAAATCTGCGATAAATACTAAATGATATTTAAGAGCATTTTCATAAGAGGTAAAATGCAAGAAATGCAAAAAAAATCCCGTTATGCTCGGTCACTATCGAAGCGTTATTTACCACAAAATTTGATTTTAGATTTATAGCCGCGATATTCAATATTATAAACACTAAAAACGATATTTGAGAGTCGCGATATTCGAATAAATTCGGACATCCCTGAACACCCCGACTAATTTCAGGTTGCATTTGCTATGACGTCATAATATCCGTTTCGAAAGTCGAAACATCGCCGTGCCCATTGAGGATACACCTCAATGGCCGTGACCTACTTACCGAAGGTGGATGCGTGGCTTCCAAAAGTAAATTCCTTTCTATCTTTCGAAATGAAACCGATATTTAGGCTAGACAAAGAATATGCGCACGAACGCTCGATGACAATATGGTCAATGAGGACAGTCGGGATGGTTTGGAATGTAGGCCACTAATGTAAAATCGGTAAATCACAGCTATGGTCTTTGGGGGCGTCCTGCTTTGAGGTCACAAAAATATGGTAACCCTACAATAGACTATTACTTACTTTTATTGTAAATACTCCGAGTCATACAGGACCTGATATTTATTGTTATATTCAATTCATGAAAACACTTCAAACTTTCGAGTGTGACCGCTGTTTGGCTAAGATATTGAGAAGTACTTGCTAGGCATCATCATTTAACCGCTTCGCATGCGGCTAGTTATGTTCATCAGCCTCTGTCATTTGTCAAAGTATATATATAGAATTTAAGCAGGACGATGAAATAAACTGCGAATTCGGAAATGTGAATATGAAGACGAAACGAAAAAAAGCGATTTTGCTTCATGTTGAAGTAAAATCGAATAACTTTGGTTGCTTCCTAACCTTGGGCGGAAATTTCAAATCGATATTTCTTGATGTAACTTATTTCAATTTGATTCAATTCAAATTTGACGTCTCGCGGACCCGGTAACGTCTCTTGCAATACCAGGCACTTCTTCGATTCCAAGATTATCCCGGTGGAACGAGCACAATAGGTGTCTGTGGAACAAGGGCGTAATGGGGAAGCGTCGACAATAAGAAATTCCATCCTAAGTTTGAACTGAGCAATGTTTCTTGTAGCATTGACGTGTGAGGGATATACGCTGCGTTAGCAGAAATAGTAGGTGTATAGTTCATTCTCAACTTGTTTTACATCATACCCCCAATTGCTTCATAAACTTATCTCGTTTCGATGGCATCTTTTGCAGATTTTCCTGAGCAGCATTTATTTCTCCACCACAGAATGCTCGACGCGGAAAATTCGCTTACTTACGTCGGTGAGGTTTCTGTCGGTATGTTTGCGAAAAGTAACCATTGCAAACTTAATTTGTGTTTAACATGTATCTTTGTTCCTGCACACTTGTAACTGTCTGGTGTATATTCCCTTCAATGTGGTACACTCAGTCCAAAATCTCTGATGTTACAAATCTGGTCAATGACTGCACACTTGCACCCGTGTACGTTTACACCCACGGACACCTGTCTTTATAGTAAACGAGGTTTTATTATCAGTTGTGCCAAAAAAAAACACGGACATTCTAATGTTATAACTATTAGCGAGCACAACCCCATTGCAAACCCGTAAATTTATTAATTCATTTCCACCCACCAACTAGGTTCAAGCAAAACCTCGACACTGGCGAGAAGAACTATCAACGGTAGACATCTCAATCACGTAACAATACACAGTAAGTGTCGTAAACGTAAACAACTTACTCGATATAAACATTGTCGCCAAGTCGAGATTGTTTTTCTGTCTCTATTTTTCTCTTATATCCGTTTAATTACTATTCCTTGTTGGAGGACGTTTCTCTCGTATAATTACTTAAAACGAAAAATAAAGGCTATATCAAGATAAAATCAGTTTTATTAATTTATTTTAATTTTTTTAGAAAGTTTTTTTTATTTAGACAAAATCATTAATTTTCACTAAATGTATAGTCCCCCTAGGCCTCAGCCTGCTTTGCTTCTTAGTGAATCAGGAAACTCGCGAAACGCTTTTCGTCCGCTGCCTTGCACGTTACGCATTCACAGAGATCCACTCTAACGTTTAAAATAAAACAGAACGTGTTCACTGATTATTTATCGTTCCAGAACTCCCATCACTGAATAGCCTACATTTTGTATTCATGGATATTTTCCAACATAGACATTTGGATCGATATTCACTTGTACCCTTAGCTACTTGCAACTGCAGTCGATTAGACTCGCGAGTGTTTGATTTTTGGACAAGGTTTCATTTCTTTATTAATAAAAACTATATACATATTGGTAAACAAGATTCGCTACGTTTTTTTATATATTTATAGCAATGTATTATTCTAATCCACTTCTGCATTTGGCGGTCAATTTATTAAGCCAAATAACGTAAACGAAATTGAATTTACCGTGGTCCGTGACGTCACAAACTAGGACCGCACCGACACAGCCTCGTTCTTGCCTCTATATTCGAGCTACTCACGATAGTCGATCATAATTATATATATTGAGCATTGCGTTGTTTAAATCGATTTTTTAGCCTGTGTTTTATTTATCAAAAACGATGAACGATCCTGCTAAAATAAGGTTGTTCTTTCAAATACTGTAACTATATTGTACTTTAAAGTAAATTACAAGATATATCGAGTGTAGCAACTCGAACTGTAGCTAAAGTATGAGTCATCAAATTTAAGTCAAATAAAAAAGTCGAAAAGGGAGTTTTAGAAAATGGGTAGCGTATCCCGTGGTACCACATGCTTCGCCCTTCATCAAACCGGCGTAATAACTACTGTCGTTCACTATCGCAAAACTTCTTTACCTAACTGCGATATCAAAATATATTATCGTGGTAATTTAACACGAAACGGAAGCTCGTGTTAGTCGTGTAAGCATTTACGTTCTCGAAAAAACAACTTCCGTTTATTCCTCCAATATGACTAGGTAATAACACCCTTCAAGAGTCATCGCTGGCGTATAGAAATTTTTCACACACATGACGTCATTTTATGAAAGATCAGCACTGACATAATCATATACGCATCAAACTACCAGCGTAGCGGAAAACTGTTTGTCGTAGCGATTCCAGGATCTAAAATAAAAACATATTGTAACGAAGACTGATCGATGGTTTCTGTATAATAACAAGCACACTTAACTCGTCCGCTAACTATATTCCAGTCGTTTCAAGTTGAGTGTAGGTAGAAAATAGGTTGTTGATTTCTGGTATGTAATACGATGGATAAGTCTACGTTAGCGGGAAATATGAGCGGTCGAATTGGAGTGTTCAATACTGCTACTGAGGGCTCTGGGTTTTTGCCAGTGAATGAGCAGAATTATGCAACTGCAATTCCAATATCAACTAACGATTGCGATGCCTGGGGAATACCATCCAGGATTGCTTTGCAGGTAATTTTGTTCTTTAGAAGTATAATTCATTATTTTGCTACAAGCAATAGGCAACAACCCCGGCGTTTACCTTTGCATCTCAAGATTATGTTCAGCACGAAAGAAATAATATACGAATCTGAATATTTTCGTTTACTCGATTAAAAGTGATATTGTCTGAATTTAAAACAGACCAGATGATCTAGGCCAGGCTCATACCCTCAGAGTTATGTGTTCGCGCCTTGTGACTAATTTTATCTTGTGTAAAAGGGTATATTTTTTCAGAAGAATCATGTTCACGAAATTTAAGGAGGAGGAATTATAATTTCATTCTAGAAATGTAGACGAAATTTCCATCAAGCTTGATGAGAAACTGAGTCGAAATGTTTCGACTTTCGAAACCCCGAATCGTAGTCGATTGTAATTTCATCCGATACCACCGCCCTACTCTCTGGACACCCGTGATTGATACCACTTAGTTATAAAATACGTATTGCCTTCATTCTAATGTCACAGCGAATATCTATCAGTCGTGTTAGGTTAGTACTAACCTGAATATATTGAGCTAACAAACGTTGATAATACAATGTGGTACATATCTGTCAAAAGCGTCGATCAACTCTTGCGAGGTCGTTGGCCTCGATCGTCGCTTAATCCGGAGTTCCAACCAACAATTCGGAATCTAACACCAATGACAGCGAATGTAGGATTGTGTAACAAATCAATTAAACCTAAGTTTACCCGTGGTTTCTTGGTTTGATTTGGTATTTGACTCATCAAGGGCTCTGAATCTGCCAAAGTCTTCTATTGACACGATTGATTGCAATGTAAATAGGTGTTTAAAAACATAAAATAATTGCGCAAATCACTTTTTTCACATCACACAACACATTTTTTTAATCCATTTTTCTCCCCAGCGTTACCTTGGGCTCGATTTCAACTATAAATTCTGTAAAAATCAGAATATGAAATGCCTTTTTCTTTAGTTTGCAAAAAGCTGTGAAATGTTTTTGCTTCGTTTGCAAGCGTTACACTCGCTTCAAGGAATTTTTGAACTTTGACTAACATTGGATGAATCATCATTCCATTGTTGTTTATCGTATATGTATATATAAGCCGATACAAATCCTACCCTTCAATTTATATCAATTTATCTCAACAGCAAAATGCGAGTATCTTGCTTGTAACAACTGACAGTGATCGTTTCAATGCACGTACCTCGCTTTAAGACATTTTTCTAGGGATATCCTTCATGACTTTGAAACAAGTTTTGAGGGTTAAATATTAGTTAAATATGTTATTCGCTCATTTTTCAAATTTGCTCATATAAATATATACATACATTTACCAGGTTCTTGTGCTTCTCATGCTGATATTGAATATTGCAGCAGCAGTCGTTATTTTCGGTGTTCCAATTAATATTCGAGGTCGACACGTTGCATTTCTTTTCATATGTGTTCGAGTATTGAATGTTTTGGATTTGTATCAGGTATTATTTTTGAATGACACTACATATCACTTGTATAAACAAGCTAAGCTAACATTTGACTGAAATTGAAACATGTGTAAATACCAACAAAGTACTATAAAGTTAACATGCTTCATAATTTTCGTGATGACAACCTATTTATTTTATTTATCAGTGTTCAGTGATATTCTTTTTTCCAATCGGAATGCCAAAAGATTGCCAGAACCCCAACGTTTTTTATTGTAACTTGTCTGGGTTTTGTTTTGCTACGGGAACCATCGTATCACCTTTAGTGGCAATCGTAATGGCATTGGATCGTTTATTTGCCGTGTTCTTTCACGTTAGATATAAAGCTCGACCTCAAACAAAGGTTAGTTTTTTCAGCGCTCCGGAAGTATTCGTACCAAGATGACGCACAACCTGGACAACCCCGACATGGTACACATATTATGTTCAGGTTGTGACCTGGTACACATATTATGTTCAGGTTGTGCGCCATCTTGGTACGAATACTTCGGGAGCAGCTTTTTTTCTTTATTTAAATATAGCTCGAGAAAAATGACACTTGGCCACATTAGAGTTCAGAATTCAATTTGTTCTTGGAATTGATATTAATCATTTATGTGTACATTCATTCGAACATTCGTTCGGTTCAAATATAAATTGCCAATTAGACGCACGAGGTTAAAAGCTACCAACCTTTCTTCTATGCAAATACCTCATGTCCTCCACGGACTTATATGTTTTTGATCATCAAATCTTGAGGGTTTGTATATTTGTATCCTAACTCCAGTCGCTTTATAATAATTCCGAAACTCAGGCAAACATTCAATATACTATCTTAAATTGGATTAGTCTGCCACAATTGGCAAATTTAATACAGAGTGGGCCAAAAGTAGGTTAACGGTTATCCATAGTTATTAACTTAATATCTGTTAACCTATTTTTTTGCCCATCCTGTATAGAACTGATCAATATTTTTCATCTTCCAATCTAATTGGAAGTTTAATCCGTGTAGGATTTTTGTAGAAAATGGGACAAAAGTTTCGTTTTACTCTCTAACCTAAAAAAGCATTAGCAAATATATACATATACTTATAAAGATATATAAATATCTGAAAATGTTTTTGACGTTTTCAAAATTGTTTAAATTGGCATAATGTTATACTAATACGAGCATATTTTATATCTTATATGTGTTGACACCGATCGATATCTCAACGTAGAAATTTGAGTCCGATTAAATCTTTTACATCATAAATAAGTAATAACTTTCGCGTATGCTCTATGTCTATAACATTGCCAGAGGTGGTTACGAAATGGGGTTTTGATGACGTACAGGAAATATTTCGCAATATTTGCATGAAGACAGGAAACATATTCATTCATATACTGCATTACATAGTAAAACCAGTATATACTATACACTTTATCAACATCGTTCGAACTTGATAGATTCATGTAAGACTGATCGTTACACTACTCATTTATTGCAATGGTTAGTGGAAATTTTACCGGATGAAAATCAAATTTGTTTAGAAATTGCTGTTTTTGCTTTATCCAATTTCTTGCATCGCATTTTTGAATATGATCACCATGTTGCGGACTCTGCTTATTAATGGAACACGTGTCTTTCTACCTATAATCACAAACGCATAGTTATATGTTTTTGTGTTCAGTGTCTACCGCGGGTTTTCAATTGAATATAAATTATTGTTTAGATGAAATGTGGAATTCTTGCAGGAATAATTGGAATTTACGTCTTCTACTTCACTCTGCCTTTCTATACTAACTTTGGAAAGTACCTTGCAGTTTCCTGGTTGTCTCTATGCTCCTTTGAATGGGGTATTGAATACAGGATGTTCAATCTTGTTCTTTTCTTGACAACAACGATTTTGACTTTGATATTGATGGCGGCAAATATTGCTATTGTAGTTAAGGCGAGTAATTGACAATCATTCAGCCGATGTTAACAAAATGATACACCTTACAAATAATAAGTAGTAAATAGATGGAAATGCTGATTGTTGGTTTGTTCGTACTTGATTGATAGAACACTCTGTTATACTATCTTTATGTATTTTAGGTTCGGCGCCGGAAGCGAGAATTTGAAAAACTGAAAGCTTCTTCTCAAAATACTACTCAACACAGAGGAATAAAGATGACAAAATTTAGTCCCGTTAGGAGTGGCATGAAACTATGGAAAAGGTACCACTTGGGTGATTGCTGTAAAAAAATTAATCTGATGACTGTTTTTATTTACTCGATACAAATTTGCCGAGTTTTTGTGTACTCAGTTTCAATAGTGACAGATTTGAATATAAAATCTGTGACTAAAATCACGACTCTGTAGCGTAAATTTTCAAATTGTGTTTCTTCTTTCGATACTGTTACATATTGATGAAAAAATATTAACTTATGCAGTAAAAGCGTCAACGACCTGAGTTTGTCATCAGATAGAGTGTCGAGATCTCCACGGTCATTACATGAAAGAAGAGGAAAATTTCTTAGTCCTTTGCGAATATTCTTCAGGTGCAACCTTAAATATTTGGTATATTTGGTCTGAGTCTACAATATTACTGAAGTTTTAATGCATGAGTGCGTCTTTGTTTTCAAACAGCTCGACTGCAAGTAGCCCTACTAAAGAACGACATATAGACGCAGATCATAAGCAGGGGGATGACGAACAGGGAGCAAGTCAAACAATTACCAATTACAACTTGGAAAAAACAAAAGATGAAAATCTTGACGTACTTACAGTCCCTCATTCGTTTTCGCCAACTTTGCCTTCTCCTTTGACTCATGACAGCGCACTTCTGTTTCCTCCCAGTCCTGCATCTTCTCGTAGAAGCACTAATGAATTCCGACCTCAATCTCCGCTTGTGACCGGCGACAATGAAATCCACTCAACTTTGAGAATAGTATCAAGACCACCAATAACGCGATGTTAGTATCTTTTTAATTGTCAAAACTTTATGATTAGGACTGATTCATTTAAAACATGATACTAAGCCATCAATTTTCTAAAACACTAACGTTCGTTTCCAAAGACGATGATCACTTTGAAATTAAATATATTGTTCACGTTTTCATGGCTACTTCACGGCACGAGTCTCCAATAAATATATATACGCTTATGCTTTACAATTGGGCCTACGAGATTGACGAAGAATTTTATAATTTCGCTAAGGTAATTTTTAGGCTGACGGATCTGACATGAGATCTATTATCATGTGCGGCCACTCAACACGATTACTTAGTACAATCATTGTCACCACTATACCCTTGTGCGTTTATATATGTATCTTCAACTAATATAGTATATATATCAATATTCAGCCATGAGCCACGGAATAAAGCGGTTATCTAGCACAGACAGTATCCTTGATGCAAAAGATCAACAAATGTCAACATTTGGATATCGTACAGTGGACCCGGATAATCTAAGAAAAAAAGCATTAGGAAATACCAATCTGAGTAAGATTATAATATTTTAATTTAATCGTTTAATTTAATAATTAAAAACTATACCATGATCCAAAAAGACGTGCCTTGTTGTAGATCAGATACAAACCTTGAGAAAGAATAAATATGTCGCGACGCACTAATTGGTGTTTCGAGTATTAAATTTTACTGAAACGTCTCAGCACGATAAAAAATAATTTTGCTATCCCCGTGAGCGAAACAGTGGGCAAAATACCTTTTTGTGCGTTGTTTTTCACTCCGAACAAGCAACATTTTTTCGAATATCTACTCCAGCGGTCGGCAACCACCGGGCCGCGGCCCATCGCCGGTCCGCGGAAAGGTTACTGCCGGTCCGCAGAGAGGTCACACAAAAACAGACAAGACTGTAATAAAACCTCTACAATCTAACTACAAACCCTATGCGGCTAAAAACACCACCCAACAGCAAACACAACACTTTTGAGCATCATGTCTGACTTCACAAACAATTGCCATGTCAGTATGTCGCAATAATGTTGGATCAATTGTTTTCTCTACACCCGCATAACAATGTCTCTCATCGGTCGAACAAGATCTTTTAAACAAAATGATTCTCGCTATAAACGTGACTACTTCACTACTGGCTCGTAGCTAACCGGTCATACCTAATCAGTGCTAATTCTATACTTCAGGATCAGGATAATCATAAAGTTAGCACTTCGGGTAAAAAAATTAGTTTTGGAAAAACAAACCTCAATCAACGGCCAGACTAAGGTCGAAGGTTTACATGCATTGTTACCTTTACCGAGATCTTATTAATGTTGTGAGTCCTGGTTTTCAATATTGACAACTACAAAAACGAAATATCGAAGTAGGCGATAAGCAAGAAACACGTTACGTGTGTTAATGGCCAGCAAACACATACAGATATCGAATCAAATAGCATGGCCGTCGTTTTTAGTATATTGTCAACATAGATTTCCTAATGCGTATAATTTATTGCATTAGCTTAGTTCGTTTGTATAAAGGTGGTCCGCCAAAATTTTGGTCAGGCATTACCGGTCCGTCACTTAAAAAAGGTTGCCGACCACTGAAATACTCTTTATAGACAATTTGATTTTCACAGAAAAGAGGACTGCATCTAGTGAACCATTTCTTGATCGCTCGTTTAATTCTGGAACGAACGAAGAGGTAGGTTGTTGCTATGTTATATGAAGTATATCAATATAGTACAATGTCATATATAAATACAGTTATTTTACTTCGAGAAACCCTGAATATATATATATATATATCACATTTTCAAAAAGGTTTCATTATTATTCGATCTCACCAATGGCTCACATTTGCGCCGAATTAAATTTCTGAAATCACATACGACATCTTCAATCAATTCATTCTTATATCCCGGAATAAAAATATTTAACATGCGTATTTCCTCTGACGTGATGCTATTTTCAGAGACTAAAATCCACGTCATCCAATTCAATATTTTCTAACTTTGTGGGAAGTCGCCTGATGTCATGGCGACAACGTGCGTCACGGCCGAAAGGGATACGACGTAACGTAAGTCGGATTACGAAGATGACGACAGCGATCTGCACGTTGTTTGCAATTCTCTACGTGCCATTTTTGGTAAGTTCAAAATGAAACAGCCTGTCAGTTTTGTTGAATTGAGAAGTAAAAAAATCAACCCTTTAGTGCAGTGGTTCTCAACCTGTGGTACGCGTGCCGCTAGTGGGAGCTTTTCAAGTGGTACGCGGGAGCTTTTTAACTGGTACGCGAGCTGATTTGAATTATTGCAACAATTAACCTTTCAGTTGGATGCCGGCAACACTTTATCTTCCTTACTGTATGTATTTGCTGAGCGTTTATGGATGTTTTCCCAAGCTCCAATTTTCTTGTTTATTTCCGTAACTGTAACCAATCAGCAATAAGTCAATAATGACGCAACAGGTAACAATTGCAATTTCTGCAACCAGTCGCTCAGACAATTCTGTCGCCCAAACAGATATTCAAGCATGGTTGCAAACATTGCCTCGTTTTTGTAGTTTTGAGTGATATTTGTCAGTTTTCAGTTGTGTCCAAGAAAATAATTGTGAACTAATTAACTTAATTGTCATTATATGTCTTCCGATGAGCTTTAATGTAGTTGCAGTAATTGAAAATGAATCTCGCAAATGATGCGATGGACAAGGCTAAACTTAGCTATATATATATCAGTACCTGCCAACGGCACATGGTTGAATAATTTCAATAGAAATGATGATTTCAAACACGTAAACCAGTTTATATGCGCCAACACATCAAAACACTCAGAATAAGTATAGTAAAGTATATATAGGGATAACTTTTTCCGGGATCAATGTTCGGGGAAACGTCCATAGCGCTGACACGCTACCAGTCCTTTTCTTTAGAGATCGCTCTCGCCCGCTATTGCCCACCTTAAATGGGGCAATATGGGCATGTTTTTGTCCGTTTTGCGTGTTACGCCACAAGGGATGTAGTGCCACATTATAAAATACTCCCATAGCATGTTTCTTGTGTCTTTTTCCTCACGCCAAAAAGTGGCTTTGTCGGTGGTACGCGGCCATAGTAAAAAAACGTAAAGTGGTACGCGGTCAGTAAATTAATTTAAAACAATGATGCCTTTCTTGAGATGGCTGGAATCTTCAGTATATACATCGCAAACGCACATTTGGATGAACGAAATTTCGAATTGAAAAAAGTTATCGATTTTCACGGGTAACGTTACTTCAAAAATGTTCATTATGATTACTAGTAGCAACGTGGGATACCAAGAATGCTTCGATCACCTATCACAGAATATTCTTCTCTTAATATTTAATTCGTGAGTTTAATATTGTGATCCAACTTCCAAATAAAAGCAATTTTTGACACTTCATATCATATTGTGCAGGTTAGAAAATTGGTACAAATTATTCCACAAGACTACTATACTGTTCATGTTCCATACGCCGTCGAAATTATCACTCTGTTTGGTCCTCTCCTGTCACCTTTGTGCAATCCCATTCTCTACGTCTTTTTCAATCCTCATTACAGAGAAAATTGCAAGCGTTTATACAGGTAAGCAAAAATAAAGCTATTATATTAAGTTACCTCAAGTTGTTATCATAGTTATACAACCTATTTTTGTCAAGAGGAAATATATATACAGATCTCATTGGCTGTCAAATACTAGCTGGTTGCAAATTTACATTCAGAAATTTGATCAAAATTAATGAATTGATAGTTAAAAATCAGGATTTTCAAAGTTCATGATATTGCATCATTGTAATTTATGTTTTTAAACGCGTGCTAATATTGTACGTGATTGTCGATCAAAAAACAATATCGTCACGCTAATAACCGAATTGCGTAAGTCATTTTTAGCAGTTTTGAGAAAAACGTAAAAAACTTCCTAATGATATTGTTATGCCATTGAGAGTCAACAATTTGCCATGGTTCAATTATTTGATCGTAGCCGGATTTAAGTTAATTTGTATGACGCAGTTAAGTGACGTCATAATGGCACACTGTGACTTAGGCAGAAATGTGTCTATGACTTGGGGACATACGCAATTTTGCAACTTTACTATATGCACCAGTCTGAAAACTAAACATTCCAAAAACGAATGTAATATTCAGTATCTACAATGTCTAATCCCCAAAATAGCTAATCAGTTTCAATTACATTATTTTTATGTTTAAAAATATATATTTCATCACTATAACACATTCTGTACACCCACCGAAATAAGACTAAGATTAAATATAAAGAATAAAACAGCAATGCAGCCAATATAAAAGCCAACCAAGGTGTATTGGACTCGGACAGTGAATATCACAAGTGCACGCCTCCTTATACTGTGGTATAAATTCAAATTAATACGCGCTAAGCTAGAATCCGAGATGCAAAAACTCGAAAATACTTAGCGAAGGTTATTTTGCCTTTGTGACGTCACAATAGTCCTGCGGGACCAATGATAATTCATTATGACGAAACAATTGCACAAATGTGCATGTCATACTAAATCTTCATTTTTATGGGTTTCGGAATTCTTAAAATAAAACCTGAGTTAACAGACAGGTGCGCAGCATCACATAAATACCTATTTTATAAAAAACTCAAAATCGCCAAAAATGACTTACGCAATTCGGTTATTAGCGTGACGATATACAAAACACGCAATAGTGTCTTTTGTTCGAAATCGTCCGCTTCTAGTGTTAAGTAAGTCTTTGCGCCATTCTAACGTTATGCCAAATTGCATTTTATAAAATATATATGTGAATGGGACCCTATAAACATTTTTTTTCCTATCTGTTGTGAGATACTCTTATCAATGACAGTAACTTTCAAGTATCAGAAACGACCACAAGCTTGTTCTACTATATGTTTTAGTATTTGCACCATCAAAGTAATTTTGCTCAAAGCCATAATTCTATTTCAACAGAAAATTCACCAAAACTACCCAAGTGTCTCGTGATATTGCAGAAATAAGCTCAACACAGAGTAGATTTAAGTCATTTAGAAAAAAGAAAAGGGTCAAAAATCACATACCAATCAATGTTTCGGAAAGTGAAAATATGGGAATAAAAGGAGAATTTAAACATGGAAACGACGAAGTTTTTCTTTCAACTGGACATATTCAACACGAAGACGGGGTTTTTGTATCAGATGCATCTAATTCAGACAGTGGTTGTTCTATGAGAATGAAGGATGAATATGGAAGAAAGCAATCTTTGCGCCAAATGCATTTACGCAGAATACAAAATCTTCAATATCGCCGAACTAAAAGCAATGATTACTTAAACTGAATTTTGAATTTTTCTGTTTGTACTCAAGAAAGCATATTTTCAATTTTGGCTGCTATTCGTGTTTCATGGAAAGTTTAGTTCGAGGGAAAGAAATTCTACCCAAAGAAAGCCACGCGCGCTGACTCAGAAATATAAAAGAAGGTGTCTTTGAGAAAAATTACGCGCTACCACTAAAGTGCCAAGACCAACTGATAATACAAATCATTGTAGCATAGAGTTGCACCTTAGTAAACACAGACAGACGCGACGTCGGTGGTATATATGTAGGCCAACTATTCGTGAAAAAACGATTATTTTTTCTGTTCGACACAAATGTCGCGGAGAAGAATCCGGGGTGTTTGATTCCCAAAACCGCAGGCCTGATTTACCTATAGCTAAACTTCAAAACAGCAGACAGCTTCTAGCGTACGCCCAGGGCGTAAAAGTCTATAAAACGCTAAATTTGATCCAGGATCCAAGTATAACTCCATACAATATTAGTTATAGACCAGAAAAAGTTAATTTAGGGCTGTGTGACAGAATCTGTTGTGTGCAGAATTGAACACCTCTATCCGACAAGTAAAAAATGTCTCACCATCTTTGTTTACTTACACAATATAATTTTTTATAATAAGAAACATTCAATGAGTGTTCAGCCATAGTGAGGTACCGGTTATGGTTTAACATTAAAATGCTGCCGGCGGGAACACAACATGGACAAATTGAAAAAAAGAATATACAATTTTGGATTATACATGGTATCTCTTACAAATAATATTTAATCCGGATTAGTCGGTCACTCAGAAATCTTCGACCTTCCAGAAAAAATCCATGAGGCCAGCAAACCGCTGATGACCGCCGCGTGAAAAACTCAGTGCACAACCCACAGGAGGTCACTTTCAATCAACAAACGGCGTGCCTGTAAGTATAGACTATCATTTCCTCGTAATTTTGCAGTCTCGTTCAGTGAATTAGACCATGGCCGGGTTAAGTTCGTTTATCGATGTAGCCGAGAACAGTCATTTTCCTATTCAAAACTTACCTTATGGAGTATTTTCTACCGGAAACGAAGATCCACAGATCGGCGTTGCTATTGGGGACAAAATTTTATCACTGAAGAGATTATCCTCTTTCTTTGATGGCCCGAATCTCGTTAACAATCAGAATGTTTTTCTTGAAAAAAATTTGAATAGCTTTATGGCATTGGGTTATGAAGCATGGCAGGAGGCTAGGACAACCATTCAGAATCTTCTTCGAAGCGACAATGACGTTCTGAGGGATAATGCAGAGCTCAGAGCACAAGCTTTTTTCAGCCAAAGCGATGCAACTATGCACATGCCAGTCGTTATTGGGGATTACACAGACTTCTATTCATCAATTCACCATGCCACAAATGTTGGTACAATGTTTAGAGGAAAGGATAATGCATTGATGCCTAATTGGAAACATATCCCTGTGGGTTATCATGGTAGAGCATCATCTGTTGTTGTTTCTGGAACACCAATACGCCGCCCTGTCGGACAAACCAAACCTAATGAAAATGCACCTCCTGTTTTTGGCCCTTGCAAACTTCTTGATTTTGAGCTTGAGACTGCGTTTATTGTGGGAACTGGCAACAAGTTGGGTGAACCTATTTCAATAAAAAATGCCCATAAGCACATATTTGGAATGGTACTGATGAATGATTGGTCTGCAAGAGATATTCAGAAATGGGAATATGTTCCTCTCGGCCCATTTCTTGGTAAGAATTTTGGAACATCTATATCACCATGGGTGGTAACAATGGAGGCTCTTGCTCCATTTGCGATACCAAATTATCCCAAAGATGTTGAAATTCTACCGTACTTGAAACATGATGATAACTATGCATTTAACATCAACCTGTCTGTGGCAATAAGAGATAAAGACATGGTCGAACCCGCAGTTGTCTGTAAGTCTAATTTCAAATACATGTACTGGACAATGAAGCAGCAACTTGTTCATCACAGCATTAGTGGATGCAATACCCAAACAGGGGATCTGTATGGATCGGGCACAATTAGTGGATTGGAGCAAGATAGTTTCGGCAGCATGCTTGAATTATGCTGGAAGGGAACTCGCACTGTTGATCTCGGAAATGGAAAATCAAGAAAATTCTTGCAAGATGGAGACAATGTTATTCTATCAGGATTTTGTCAAGGAGAAAATTACAGAGTAGGATTTGGAACCTGTGAGGGGGAAGTTCTACCTGCAATAGATGCATCACAGTTTTAGACGAAAATTGACGACGCTACTTATTTATTATGCACAAAAATGAAATTCAGCCGAACTGTTGTCAGTAGAATCATGTGTGGCCTTTTCACCTTCGTTGCCTTAGCATTGTGATATTGCGTTGGTTTTTATACTATAGCCAAAAATAAATAATGGATGAAAAACAGCGCCGTTGATGTAGCAGTAATGTCTGGGCAGATCAGTGGAACTCACACTAAAACGAAATCGATATTCCTAACTCAAATAGGATCCCATCCATGTTACAAATTAGCAACTAGTTTGTCCCAACTCTTTAGATTTGTAATTCAATTGTATCCATTCAACCAGAAAAAAAAGTCCTCTCCATAACAAGTGGTTACTGATATCATAATCAAATTAATGCTTAATCATCAACTCAATTTCGTCGACTACCTGCCAAGAACTCGGCTAATAGTGCATTTTTTTAACATTAATGAGGCTACATATAGCAGCATACACCTAAATAATGAGAAGATGCCACCAGATATTCTCAACGACACTTAGCCACATTTTTCCAGGGCTGCTCAAGTTGAAATCCTGTCTGCACATTGGACACTGTTGATTGCTACATTTTCACAATGCTTTTCAAGTTGATAGTTCACTCTTTGAAAACCCAATCCTGTCTGCACATTGGACACTGTTGATTGACTTGTTGTGATTGAAGCCACTTCAGTATGCAATGCATGTGAAAACAATGCGAACACTGTCCCCATACTGCAAAACAAATGATATCATGAATTTTATTTATATTCATGAGCCTCAGTACTTTCTACCAATAACTCTTAAAAAATAACTTACCAATAGGGCAATCATCACCCGGTGCTTTACAATCAGAACAAAAGCATTCGAACGGATCACGACATATTCCACAATTGTCATCTGATGCTTGCCAACACCATTTTGCAACAGCATGCACTTTGACTATCTTGAACTTCATTTTTAAGCTGGTTAAAAACAACTCTACACAAACAAATATCTAAAAGTAGATGATATAATAAATTAAAGTATACTCAGACATATTAAATTTTATCGAAAACAACCAAAAATTTGACATGAATATGGTACACACAAAAACTTAACATGATCCATGTAAAAGGAGCTATGCTTCTAAGTGATTTTTGTGACTTTGCTTTTCCTACTATTGAGGAATAAATCTGCCCATGTATTGGAGTGAAGAACTGCACAAAGCCAAGTTTCATAAAGTTGATAAAGAAACATTGATAAAGTTTCTAAATATATTATTCGCATTTTTACGCAATTATTCATAGATCATGTATACATTTCTGCACCTTTACTATTTCTATCAACCACGGTGGTCATCTTTTATGTTTTGTGGGCCAATTTTATAACCTTCAGACAAAAAATTTACTTTTTCATTAAAAATTACAGTTAATTGTGAGAGCTTCGGATTGGAAGGCTCTAAACCCTTGACCCAACTCCGCAGAGCACCAATAGACTTATGATCAGTTGCAGCAACTGCAAATACATTACCCTCAAAGGGTTTAGTGTCATCTTCAACTTGAATTATTTCATTCTGCTGCAAGTCCACAAAACTTTTACTTTCTAATTTTACTCTAGGCAAGAAACTTTCAGTTGAATATAATTCTTGCGTAGATTTATTGAAAAATCTTTTGGAAGTTCCAAAGTCTGAACCATAAAACTGGGTCCACCATTCCTTATCAGTTAACACTCGTTCTTGTTCAGACATTTCGATCTTGTTTTCAATTGGGTCAGTTCTCATAATATAGTATTGAATTTTTTTATTTTGAAAGTACACCATATTAGGCCCTTCTACAAAAAGTGGCTTGGTTACATCATGGTGATCCAGCATTTCTCTTTGATGATCTGTTTGTACGCTTATTATGCAATCTATTTCTGCTTCCGGAGTCAATTTTTCATCATTGAGAACTGATGAGTCTACTTCAAATCTTCGATATGAAGCATCTATACCAGGATTCACTTGTCTCAAACCTCTTACAGCAATTTCAATGGGAGTCAATTTTTCTAATTCTAGTTTGGAGATAAGAAATGGAACAAATGCAGACAACCTAGGCTGCCAAAAAATAAGCTGCCTGGCAGACACAGTAGCTCGGCTGAATTTTCCAAAAAGTCTCATGCATGCATTATAAAATTCATCATTAATAAGGGCATTGTTTTTTGCCATAATACTAAATAATCTTCCACCAAGTTCATGATCTATAATTTTATCTTGCCACACCGATTTAAACCACTCGTCTCTTCGCATGCCAGTATGTTCTGATTGAGGATAACATTCAAGTATTTTTAAATACGCTTTGGATTCATGCTGGACATTGAATCGATCAAGATTATTTAGGGCAACTTGCACAAACTCCCTGTGTCCTCTACGAGTTTCACCTGCATCTTGAATCCACATGTCAACCATTTTGAAAAAGAGACGTTTATCCGCTTCAACAACATCATAATACTCTGCATCATCAACTAAATCTGTATGTTCCTGTGCTTTCCGTACATAGTATTCCAGAACCGCCTCTTCATCGTCAGGTGCAGACTCTGCTAACATCTGCTGGTACATGGTGTTTTGTGAAACCATTTTTCGTTTCACACTGCGCTCTACCGCTGTATCTTCTTCATCCATTTGAATAATACTTTTTCTTGCAACAGGTTGCAATACACTTTCTTCGGTATTATCTTCTTCAATTTCATTTTCAATCTTCTTAATTTTGTTCGATGACTCTCCTGATGAAAAATATTTCATGTGTTGCATATATTTCTGCAACTTTTTGAATTCCTTGTAATTGGAGTGCAGAACTTAATCATTCTATAGCATTCATTAGTTTTACGAAACATGGTTTAATATTTACAGATCTCAAATATAATAATATATTCTGCTTTTCAGTTTTAATATGAAAGATGCAGTTAGTTAGAAATGTAGGTATACAATATACATAGAGACTGAGAGAGATTAGGCAGGCCTTATGACTTCGAATGATATTGTTTCATGATGCATTTAAGTTATGAAATTACAAAATTAGGTATAAAGCTACTGATCTCCTCTTGGATTTTTTCTAAAAAGGACGACAAACTTTTTCCTAATCAGACTCAAGTTTGGTTTAAAAATCCCCTCCCCCAAACAGCCAACTGCCCAAAATGAATATAGCATAATATGCCGGTCCAAAAACATTTTTGGGGTTGAGCATGGAAACAACCAACAAATGCGCTAGTATATTCACGGAAAATCTATATTATATGGCTTAAATGAAACCTGATTCTGTTCCCTTGTTTTAGGTGGTTTATACTTAACTGACACTCATATAAGCCGAAATATTGAATGTTACGCACAATGGGAATGCTATTATTACAGCATTCAGGTATTAAGTGGTTGAATGTCCCTATATTTATCTGTGTGTTCTTATCCCAGTACTGATACTATTTTTTTTTTTTTATAGATAAAATAATAATAATATACCAGTACTTGTACTATTTGCGTCTGGTATAGTTTAGGGGTCTCATGTAGTTTCTTACCTAACATACTTCTAGTGGGTGTAACATGACAATTTTTTTACATATCAATCCTAACCCCCACCTGACCACACCATCCAAAAATTACGTCACTACGACGTCACAGTGACGTAATAGAGCCCTTCAAACTATGCGACATTCACTTCTTGTTGGCCTGGCTCAACAATTTTTGCATATGTCAATCCTAACCCCCACCTGTCTACTCCATCCAAAAATTACGTCAGTGCGACGTCACAGTGGCGTAATATAGCCCTTCAAAATATACGAACTGTCATCCAAGACTGTGCAACCCAAAGTGACTATAAACTGGTGCAACCGAAATCGAACAGCTATTTCTCTCGTTTTCTCGTCGCGACGATCCCAGTATGAGAGAGATCGCTGACATTTGTCAGTTCTTTATCTTTATCGTCTCATCAGAGCCATTACATAACTAGTCTGGAAGGCCGTATACCGTACTGACCTGCAACACCGTGCAACTAACTTGTCCCATTATGGCGTCATATGGACGCCATTTTCGATCATTCGGGTCGAGTAGTGTAACGCAAACAAGCCTAATTTTAGTAGTTTTAAATAGTTATTGGGGAAGATTTAAATGAGTAGTTATATTCCGAAAGCGCAGAAATCAGATAAGGCCTCCCAGTCAGTATCGAACCCAATATGAGGCACTTACATTAACAACACACGGTTAGTAAAGTGAATGCAAGTCAACACACACACACACACATATAGCCTACGGAAAATGGGGAAAGTAGGCAAAATCTAAAATTATTTCAGATTAGGGCTATCGGCCGTCCCCTAATGGCAGGGACAGTCCCGGAATTGACGTCTGGCGCCCCGGGCCACGATTGTCCCGGAATTTACTGACAACCAGGGCGTTCTGAAATAGCTTGGGCTATTTTTGGCTTCTGCCGTCACATTCGAAATACCCTATTTCGCCATTTGGGGTCCCATGTTTGGAGTGTTTCACACCACAACAGGCCTAAATGACTAAAACGAACTGAATTTTCGACAGTATTTCATTCGTTAAATGAAACAAAAGCGACCAGAATAATTTGATGGAAATTTATATTTAACTGAAAACTAAATTCAATGGAGTTTGGACGATAATAATCAGAAAAAAATAAATAAATTGGCTATGTACACACAGTGGATCAGCGACAAATTTTCAATGTGATGAGAATGTGTCTGAACGTGAAAAATAAATGAGTGCAACTCAGTGATACATACACAGTATTGAATAAAAATAACAGGGAAAGATGATTTTGATTCATAGTTTTGTCATAATCTGAAAATGTTTCAAAATTGCATGAACTTTATATACATTTTGGGATTTTCACAAACTTGCACTCTAAAAATGTAAATACTTACAAGTAGCCTATACTTATCAAGAAGTTTTAGCAGATGGGTTTTGAAAACGTTTCTGACCCACATAAGAGGGTCAAATCAATGGACCTTTCCCCGACTTTTAACCCCCGAAAATTCTTCCTATACTTTACCCTTGCAAAATTTTCGGGGCTATTTTAAGAGTGCTTTTGCAAGTTGGCGTCTGTAAAATGGGGTATATGTTTCAAACCATCATTATGATTCATTGCATACAACAATCTGTTTTCTAAAGGTAGGCCTACCGGTAAAGAATTTCAGGCTAGTCTATCACAGCTATTTCTACACTAATTTTTATTACTGCAATTAAATTAAAACTCCTAGGAAGACAGAGTGATCATTGAATTATCTGATTTATATTTAAGTTTCCAAAACACAACTGAAAACTAACGAATAGAGTTCAAAAACGCGAAAACGAGGTAATGTTTACAACCACGCTTGAAAATCTGTCTGAGTGAAAAAAGTGTCTGAGCGGATGCGAAAAGGGGCATTGTTACGTCACTTTTTGCATTTTGCTGATTGGCCAATGTCACGAAGTAAACAAGGAAGTCGATGCTCGGGGAAAGGTCCGTACGAAAATTTTCATAATTCTCATCTTGAGAATCGTGTTTACAAAACAAAGCAAGCAATGATCATCATAGGAATAGTGAACATTTTTATTTAAATCTTTGGTGTAACCAGGGGGATGAAACTAGTCTAGAAAGCCACGCCCACATTAATAAAACAAACAAAGTTATTCGCGTTACGAGTTTCTGCAGCTTCACGCTCCATTGCGATCACTTGATTTGCGCGGAGCTCGGTGAAGACGGTGGTAGACTATGTGCACAATGACATTAAACAACATGATAGGCAACTCTGACGTCACTCCATAAGACTACAGGCGAAACATTATATTTCATGATACGCACCAATGCACATATTTCTCGTCGCCTTTCGCGTCCGTTTTCCGCTCGCTTTTGCTACTCGGCGTCTTTTTTACGTGTAGTACCTGTCTTTTTGCGCCTGTAACGAAACAAAATAATCTCCATATCTAAGAAGTTTTGCTTACTTGGAAAGCTGGAATAACAGGCAAGCTGTAAAGAGCAATTCTGGACATCATAGACGTTTTTTTTTTATCAGAGAAGATTACAAACGCGATAGCGGAAAGATTTGTGTGGAACATTGTGCAGATAATGACAAAGTTCAAAGTTAGTAATTTTAATGTTTGCGCTTAATCATTGAAATTTCATTTAAAGAGGGTGTCATACAAAACTGTGCTGCGATACAATTCCATAACACAAAGTTTGCACCTATCGAACTTGCTTTTGTAGGTGAATTTATTAGACATATTACATATTCAGTTAATCGTAGGTAACATTGCTGGTACATAATGCATCGTAGATAGGTTTGTTTAAATTTAGGAATTTAGCTCATAGCCCACTAATTAATATTATCTTCTATGCAGGAGGTTGCAGGGCTGAATTCAACTTGCAGCCTTACCGATCACCTGACGATGCTCATTTAGTTTGGCTCGAGCAAGTCTTCTTGAAATGCTTGTGTGGATGGAAACTACCTATATTTTTTGCCTTCCTCCGATTTTAGACAAATTTATTCTGAGGGATTTCGCATATAATTCTCACTGATTGTTGGCTGTTTATAATTCCTATTGATTGTGAATTCTGATTATAACAATGAGTTGAAATTTTTTTTACCTAATTTACTGGCACCTTTTTCTTGTCAATACTCCAAGCTGAGGTAATAAACATGACAATACATTTACGTCATCTGGAAGCAAAATATGCACATTAATTAATAGTTTGGCACATTGAGATAATACATCATGACAGAAAATACAAGTTAAAGATAGGTATGACCATCACATGGTAATTAAAATTAAAAAAATTAATAGGGGCTGTGGAGTATGAAAAGTTCAAGACAAAGAAAAGAACAAATGTTCATAGCTCATGAACTCTCAATTTTGCCTCCATTGCTTTGTGAAGGCCAATAAATTTCGAGTGGCTGAATTGGTTTACCTTTATGATAGCAACGATTTTGTATTTAATATAGCGAGATTATTTCAGTTTAATTGAAGTGATATAATTTCCCAAAGCAATGCTTGAATCGTCTAGAATAGATCAGTGGTGTCAAACTCATGGGTTTTCGAGAGCCGCATTGCATTTTGAAAATTGTAAAAAGAGCCGCAAACAGTTTTTGATAATGTATACTTAAAAGATATTTTTAAGATAGATTTAGTTTGTGACATATATTGTGATGCAACTAAACAGTTGGATTAAGTTTTATTATTTTCTTCAATTTCAAATGCAATTACATATTAATATTTGCATTCCACTATTATTGCAACATTTGCAAGTTACAGTATTTATTATAAAAAATCGTAAAATTCTATGTACAACCATCAAAATCATTTTTGAACAAGCTTTGAATAAGGAAATAATAATACATACACTAAAAATAACTTAATCTAAATATATGAACCTAAAATTAACAAAAATACTACAGTATAAACTCAATGTTTTAATAATTATATTTGTCCTGGCGTTTGGCATCTTTTTTGTGTCACCAGCATACTAAGGCCAGTCTGAAATGATTTTATAGTACCAACTCTAACTAACGAGGCCACATGATCATGGGTTTATCTGGATCTTTACGAATGTTTAATTAATTCCAGTAATGTAAAAAAGTTACTTTTATCATTTCATGTATAGATCAGTAAAAAAACAAATGACAGATTTTTTCGACAAGACATTTTGCACTACATTGCGTGGCATAGGATTGCTTGAATTATTATTGATATTGATTTTTAGTAACTAAGTCGTTGTATAATTATATTAATATACAAACACATGGAAATTTTCTGTTCGAAGTTGGCCTTCGAATTTGTCATATTGACTGCTGAGCTTATTGTGTTTTTTGATTGTATTGATGGAAATATGACAAATTAAACAATGTGCTTCAGAATTTTGTGAAGAGCAGAAATGTTACAACTCCCATTTTCTTCGAAAATGCCACCTTCTTCATGTACTTTGCGTTTAATTTAATCACTCAAGTGTTTTATTAAAGTATTCTTTTGCTAGCTTGATGTGTATTCTTAATTGGGTCAAAATGTGGACAAAAAAAATTAATATTCCAAAACTACTTTCAGTGAATTGTCTTCTGTGTGAATAATCAATTTCACTTTAGAAGGTTTGAAAAATCTATTACATTTAGATAAAAAAAAAACTTCCAAAATACT